TAACTTTGTTTTTTTGCAGGTTACCGTTGGAGAGCAAAAAAGAGAAAAATAAAAAAAATAAAACCGGTATCGGAACCGGCACCGGTACCGGCGGTGCCGGTAACGATTTTGGGGCACCGGAACCGAGACCGGATGTGGCGGTACCGGTGCCGGTTCTCGGAACCGTTTCGCCGTCCTGGTTGCCGTTACGGTGCTCGGTACCGGCGGTACCGTTTCCGGTGACGGTACCGAACCGGTACCGTGTCCAGCCCTACTGTATAATACTTAACCATTCAGAGGCAAATCTCTTAACCATTCAGACATCTGAACCATTATGAGGCTGAAACAAACAGTCTGAACCATTAAGTGCTGAACCATTCAGACATCTGAACCATTAAGAGGATGAAAAAAACAGCCCCTTAGTGCGATATAGATTTATCTTGTGAACCAAAATGTTATGAATTACAAACTATTACTCCCTCCGCCACATTTTGGCTTCGTTTGGTAACAGCGTTTTTGATTAGCGTTAACGTTTTGGATAAAATTTTAATGGTGTAGATTAAATCTAAAAACGCTAATGCTAAAAGCTACCGTCGGATAGCTTTTTGAAAATGCTAACGCTAATATCTAACGCTGATGCCAAACGGGGCCTTTATACTGCTCGTTTTCAATTTGGAACATATTTAAAAAGGGAGAAAATAGTATTGACTTTCCAAAAATGATTTGAGTGTTAGGTCGTGAATTAGGACAATACAATAGTTGTACCAATTTTGACATCAAAGTTTAATACTCTTTCTTTCCATCATAGATTCTCTTAGACAATATTCATATGGTCAAACTTAACTCATTACTTTACTTATTTTTACTATTTATTTTATAAAATAATATAATCTTGTCAGCTCTAGTTTTATAAAACTTTTCATGTAGTTTTTTTAATATATAAATTTTTTTTTAAAATTTATCCCTGGAATCAAATAAATTAAACTAAAAATAAAGTTGGTCAAAAGATTTTTTGTGGATAGAGGGAGTACCATATATTTAGAGACATACATAATTAGATAATCATTATCTGAGTCACACAAGTAATCACTAAAATAGTGTCAAAAAGTTAGTGTGATATAGATTTATCTTGTGAATAAGTGTTATGAATTACTACGGGGTACAAACTATTACTCCGTTCGCCTCATTCTATATTACTCGTTTTGAATTTGAAACATATTTAAGAAATTAAAGATGGAACATAGTGTTGACTTTCCAAAAATGCTCTTACTTTTTTAGCGGGTGATAATGAATGAGAAGATAAAGTGGAGAAGAGTGACTTATTTGAATTTTGACTGAGTAGTTTAGGTATTTTACCTTTAAAAGCTATCATGAGAAACAGAAAACTTATTTTGGGATGCTACAGAAAATTTAAAATAGAATGGAGGGAGTATAATATTGTATAAAAAAATTACTCATAAGGCCATAATACTGTTAGGTTGAACCGTGTAAACAATATTGACAATATATCAAATATTAATCATAATACAAAGTCGATATACATGTCAGTTGATTTTTTTTCGCACGAAGTATCTTTTTCAAACGCATATCATTATCAAATGATCTAGAAAAATGTTTTAAAAAGTAGAATTAGTTTGACTAGTCAATAGTAACTCGGCGTCTTTTTTTAAAAGACGGAGCCATAATATCTAAATAAACCAAATGCAACACTTACATTCATCCATGGAAAACATATACACCCACAAGTGTTAAGTTTTATCTTGAACTCGTCTTTTAAAAAAAAACAAACAAAAATCACATCATTCAATAGAGTACAAGTTTCATCACTTCACTAGCCCTTTTTTCCATGTAGGAAATAGGGCAATGTGTACAACTTCATCACATCTTTTACACTTAACATTATTTTTTCTTGTTTGTGTTAATAATGCAAATGGGGTAAGCTTCGGGCCAAGAATCGATGGAGATTTACGAACCCATATCTCAGTAGACTTCAGCTGCAGTGTAATTTGTAGGCACTCTCTGGCGTTTCTCTACGTACGCAGAAGGAAACCAACCTGCCCTACCTTGGCATTCTCCTTCTGACCATCCCGAAGAGGTCACCTAAAAAACATGGCACAATGGCCAACTCATTATTGTCAGGCCTCATAATATTTTTCATTCAAGTTGAGAAAGATGATTAGAAAGCGTAAGTCATTACCTTCCGAACCACAACATAATCTCCCTTTGACAAGCTCAGTTCCTTCTCTGATTCGGCATCAAAAGCATGAACGGCCTGCAATAATCACATAACCAATACGACATCAAAAATGCTAGAAACCCACCATGTCTGACACCAAGAGTTTGACACCTGGTGTAATGACTGTCTGTGCGGGACACACACTGATTGTTTGTATATGTCTGAAACGTACACTTGGTGTCAAACCTGGTGTGACCCTAGCATGACTCATGGGACAAACTTGTGTACTTCATACTGCGAAAATGAATAACCATTGGGAGGTCGATCAGAAGATACCTCAGCCAAAAAGTACTTTGTTTTCTCCGAGAAGTGAACGATTGGGTTCACCGGAGGCGTTACAACAGGAGGATTGCCCTCTTTTCTTTGTCTCTCTGAGACCATCTACCATCCGATTATACCATGTCAGCAAATTTTTCTCATTTAAGTATAATATATTAAAAAAATAAAAACTAAGTATGGGACCCACCTCAGCTTCAATATTGCCAAGAATAACAGCAACCCTTTCATGATATTGCCTCTCTCCTTCAACCTTCAAAATTACAAGTCAAAAGAATCCATTTGAAAATTTTCTTTTATTCCCTACAAAAGAATGTAATGTTATATTTAATACGCCCTCCGTCCAGATTTAGTTGTCCACCTTCTAAAAAAATCTCATCTTTAAGAAAAGTATTTAAAATGTCAAATAAGTCTTTTAAATGAGGACGTGACACACTCATCTCGATAATGATTATGCCCCATCTCTAGGATATATTAGACGATTCATCATAATTTCTTTATTGGATAAGGAAATTGGATAACTAATTTTGGACAAACTAAAACGAAAAAGTGGACAACACAATCTGGACAGAGGGGGTATCTTCTTTTAAAGTGTATCAAACAAGTTAAGTATGTTGAGGTTAGTCCAACCAACAAATAAATATAAGGCAAACATTTGTTTTGATTTCTCAGGTAGATTCTGCTATTCCAATTTCGAAACCAGCTAGAAGTCCTAGAACCAAGTGGCAATGTAATTGTTTCAAACTATGGGTGGAATAATTTGCTCATTATACTATACTCCTTAGAATTTGATTCTGAAAAATAATCAGAATTGGCTAATTCAAGATGATTCTGAGGGAATCAAAATTGGCTAAAAGATGAATCAAAGACAAATGAGCCCTAAAAATATAACTAGAATTGATTATTTTCCACACTGGTACCTTATCATAAATAAAAAGTAGTACAGAAGAATAAGGATAAGGATGCAGTATTATAATACCATTGATAAAAGCCTCTGAAATGTAAGCCGCTGCTGCTGTGATTCTACAGCAGATAATGCCGTTGCGGCTTCTTTACCAAGTACTGCCATAGTTGCCCTCAGTTCCTGCATTTTAGCTTCTGCTCCATGCAGTTTTGCCACATTTTCAGGAATGGGAGCTTCCCTTACCCGTGCTTGTCTTCTAGAAACTTCTGCTGCCTGCTTGTTACAGGCAAGGTGACTGAATGCAGTTAAGCTAATATAAGCTTTAAAAAAACACTTGCTACAAGCTAATCAATAAATACTGAACTTTCCAGAATAATAAAAATAATAAGCTATTGTGTTACCTGAGCTTCTGCTTCTTGCCTCATACGACTGTAACGTTGAGCAAGATGGCGAGCATCTTCTAAAGCAGTTCCATTTATCATTGCTCTCAAAGGTTCTAGGACCTGAATGTACAAATGACATGAGAGTTGTGTTACTTAGTATGCAACCTTAACAAACCGGAAACAATCGGGGCTGAGGACCGTCTTAGGGGTACCCCCCCCCCCTCCCTCTCTCACTCCACTTTTCACCCCACCTTCTCACAGACATCCAGTAGTGTTCAATGTTTGCTGGTCTGTGAGAAGGTTGAGGTGAAACTGTGAAAGGTGAAGTGAGAGCTGTGGTGATTTTAGCATTTTCCTTGGGGCAATGCACGAAAGGGTCTAACGGAAAGTTAGAAAAAACATCTCTGTTTTATAGGGACAAGGTTCAGTACATTTGGACCCCAGACCCTAACAAAATTGTGATAATACTGGATTTTGTTGTTGTATCAAATTTAAAAAAAATGAAAGTGACAACAAATTGTCTCTAATAGAGGTTCTTAATCTCAAGAGATGCATCAAAATCAGATAAGAATGTATTGACCAACCTGATTAAACAATAGCCTATTCATGTCTTCAACCTCTTTCTCTACATGCTTTCGAGCATCGCCATAGATAGATGCAGCTTTAGATAGAACTTCATCATTGACATTCTCAATGCTGTACTTGCAGCAATCTTCAGACAGCTTGGTTCCTTGATACCCACGACGTTCAAACCAATTAGCTAAGCGCACCAAGAATTAGGGCCCGCTTGGAACCCAGAAAATGCTCCAAAGAAAAATAGAGAGAAACCCCAATAGATCAATTGTAGATCTTCGTTCAAACTTATTCTAGTTATATATTTTTCTATTACTCGTATATAAATACTGAAAAATATAAATATATGCATGAAAAATCAAAACGTTTAAACAAATACGATTTTCCTTCGTTTTCCTGTATTCCAAACACAACCTTAAAGACCATAGTGCAAAAATAACATCATGCAGGTAAACTCTTTAAGATTTCAAAGTACATATAGTGCTCACTAACAGATCATTGGAGCTTGAGAGAAATAGTAACAGCTACCCGCTTCTATATGCTTATAACCAATGGCTGTATATGTTTCCGCTGCCTTGACAACGTCTTTCTGAAACTCCTGCACACATAAGACGTTGAATTTTTGTTTCAATACACTTTGTCTCAGGAAAAATTCATACAAATAGAAATACTCACAAAAAATTGAGATTTTACAAGAATACTCCAATATTGTATACTTATCACCGGCACTCCCATAAGTTTTTCAAAAATACTTAAGGAGAATTTTTAGTTTACATGGATCTCTCAATTCTTAAGGTGCATCTATGCTCGATATGCAAACTTGGGACATTATTGTCAAAATATTGATAGCGTTGGTGATAATTATGCAATCTTGGAGTATATTTGCAAAACCACAAATTTATTAGGGTAATCGCGTGAACTTTCTCATGTTTTAAAATAAATCCATTGATGTAATAAACATGAAAATCACATAGTATAGACCTCGACAATTGCTACATTGAGGAGCTTAGGAAGACATAAAGCTCTCTAAATGTTTGTTTCTCTCAATTAGTTTGTCCAATCTGATTGTTTAAAAAAGCATCCAATTTATATTTATGACAATTCTTAAAACTCGCCAGTTCCTATTTCTGCTACAATAGGATTTCCAACAAGTACTCGAATTTTCAAATGCAATACAAGAAAAAATACTCACTCACAAAATAGACAATGCAAATACATCTGTAGAGAAATGGCACGAGACGGAAAGCATTTCTTACCCTCCCAGCACGGGTAGTTCGATACAATTTTTCCAAATGTTGGTGTACTTGCATCTCAACCTCATCAACAACCATCACATCAGAGCTTTCATAACCACTTGTACTGAATTGCTTTATTACAGCCTAAATTGCAAAACCCCACATTAAGAATGACAAAAAATTCCATTTAATTTGATGTGAGGAAAAAAACTACCCCTTAGTGTCAGTTTGGATGGTGGATTTAGTATATACCTAGATAAATACAATATTTCTTTAAAAAGATGAATAGAAGGGGATTGAAATGTTATATGACATAGAATTTTCAATATATGCCAAGATTCAGAATTTGCTTCCAAAACCCTTCATTAGCCCACATCCAAACTGACCATATATCCACAAATCTTTAGCCCTTGAATTCAGGTTCTTGCACCCAGAGTTTTTCAACAGACATTAAAAGCAAAATATGTATTAAAAAAAAGATTTTTAGGCACATTTATATTCCTTTTTTTTCCCATATAAGATATAACCATTAGAAATATCCATTCTTGTTTAAGGAATCTCGCCACAGACACAGAAAACTCTGCAAATTCAGTGAATGGCATTTTTACTCCACAATCACAGTCGAGATAAAAGAATTTGAAGAAACAAAAATCCAACAACCCAGGATCATGATTCGTGTTTGAAGAAAGAACCGTGGGGCGACTGCAATTAGATTTCTTGGGAATCATTTCGCACACATTCTACAAAGCCCGGTGGTGGGATATTATAAAAACCTGTTGCTGTTTGGCAACTTGTTCTTTCAGCTTGCTCGCCTGCTTCCTCAGAGCATCCATCTCTCTCTTTCTCTAGGATTGAGGTGGGAACAGTGATGAGAAGGAACGGAGTGACGCCTTGGGTTTGGATAGGAAGAGAGTCCGGTTGTCGTCAGATCTGATCAGAGCACCTCACTCACCGGAGTCCAATTCCCACTACTAATATTTTGATGGTTCAGATTGACACAAAGTGTTGAAGCATTAATAAAAATTAGCATTACACTAATACAGAATGTTAGTGCACACTTACGGTGTACAAACTCTTGGGGTACAAATAGCTTTATCCTTAGAATGAATATTTCAAGATGAACACTATATTGAGCATATTTCAAAACATAAAAAGTAATTATTTTAATAATTGTTTTAATGATTTAAAATGATTTTTTTTGTTGATTTAAGTTTAAAATAAATATTCATCCAAATACCTTACTTTACAAATAATTGGTACCCCATTTGTACCACCCTCCATCTCCACCATACAGAGGCAAGAGAGAAAAAAAATTAAAAATGAAAAAAGAAATGGAAGGTTATGATGAGTGGTGTACAAAAGGAATATCCCAAATGGTGTACCCCTAGCATTCCTTTTTTCAAAAATACTAGGGGTACCCCATCCATCTCCACCACACAAAGGCAAGAGAGGAAAAAAAATTTTAAAAATGAAATGGAGGCTTATGATGAGTGGTGTACAAATGGGGTACCCCAAATAATGTACCCCTAGCATTCCTCTTTTCAAAAATACTAGGGATATACCAAAATGACCAAATGAGATACCCCATTTGTTGGCAGATCTTGAACTAAAGTCATTAGGCATCTTGAACTAAAGTCATTAGGCTATTCATCGATCCAAGAATGGACCAGACCAAAGATCTAATTGAATAAAATCACGATTCGAAGACCAGACCTAAATCTATATGGGTTTGGACCAGACCAAAATACTTAAGACCGAACTGGTCCGGACAGATTGGACCAAGTAAATATATATTTTTTTAATTATTTAAATAAATTAAATATATTTTAGGATTTTTTCAAACAGAAAAAATATAAAAAAATTAGCAAGCTAGAAATAAATACTCAACATGGATTATTTCTAGGTAGAATCATAAAAACTAATGTGAAATATTTATTATTTTTTAAAATTACTGAATAAAAAACCATTTTAATTAAATAAATTAAGATATCTATTACAATAGAGCATCAAAGTGTAATATATAGAACTTAAAAAGTAAAGTTTTAGTATTTAGGTCTTTTAGGTCCTGTGAGGTTATTAGGTCCAGTCATTCTAATCGGTGCGGACCTAAAATATTTCGAGTTTGGATCGGGCCTGATCAAAACCCGAATACCTAATTTTTTTGGATCGAAGACCGACCCAAAATCCATTTGGTCTAGGTTTGGTCTGGACAACATGAACAGCCCTAAAAGTCTTGGTCTCATTGACATGGCAGTATTTTTTCCATCCAGTATAGCTTGAATTTTTAGTCAAACTGTATAAAACTTTGATCATAGATTATTAAAAAAACATATTTAGTTATAATTTAAACTTAATAAAACTAGACTCATCTGATAAATAAAAAATTTTGACATTTAATTATTTAAAATTAAATTTAATTTATAACAAAAATGTAGCACAATTTGAGCAAAAGTTAAATTATACTGAGTACTATTTTTTGGGACAGTGTGAATAGTTGGACAGATATAGTTATTTCTAGCACATCAACATAGGGTTAGCAAACACCTCAACATAGAGAGGCCTATTATATGTGTGGTTTTTACTTACGAAAGTAGATTTTACTTCGAAGGAAGTTAAATGATCCAAGCATGCATTTTATGCATAAAAATAGAGGAATGTAAACTAATGTGGTGAATTTAGAGTGCTTGTAATTAGAAATGTAATTTTGATTTGGTGCTAATAATGTTATTGTTTTATAAGTCTTTATAGTGCATGATGATACTTTATCTCTCAATACCTCTTATATCGACAAACTGGGAGATAATCGTGTTGAATACAATGTATATGAACACTGGCGTGCAAACATGGAATTCATATAAACATTAACCATTTGTAAATGTGCAGATCTAGCATACACTTGAAAGAGATTAAGGTAAGAAAAAAATATGTATAAAAATTGGTAAATTATTTTTAGCAATCAATATCGAGATATTACACTACATTAGATACAAAAGAGTTTTGGACTTGAGTCTTAACCAAATGGCAATATATCAAGAATACTATAAACACATATAAAATTTTGTTGGTGTCGTGTATTTCTTATGCTTAGATATAAGAATGTAACTTTTACATTTATTTAAAAATAAAAAAACATCTTGTCATTGGGTGTAATGTACAAGCTGAATGGATACACATAGAAAAGAAAATTTGCAAATAAAGAGTTCATAAGATGCAATGTATGCAATTCACACAACATTTGATGAAATTCGGGTAGAAAATTACTACTTAACTCCAAGAATGACATCAAAGTTGACACGACAGAGTCATTGTTTTTGTTTGTGAGACAATAACAATGTCAACTTTGATGTCATTCGCGGTGTGATTGTAGCATGAGCCATTTGCAAATACGGCTATCTCCTGGTTGTTGCGCGACTTATGGCTGCAATGTACGCCGCTTGAGTAACGGTTAGGATGATCAAGAAGGCTTCCATTGTTCTCTGTGTTTTTTGGTGTCACATTTAACAAATTAAAGTTGTCTCAGTAATGCACAAAATCCATTGGTATATATACTTGGCATTGCTTACTTGTTAAGCAACACTAACTTAATTAGTTGACTGTAAATGTTTTATAGAAGAACTCATGGAAATGGTAAGTTTTTTTTGCTGAAGTGGTTGAAATGAATAGATTGAATATGATAACTTCATAAATAAAAATGACATTTGATTATTTTCCTATGGTAATTAAATAATTCAATGCTCTCACCAGTTTGGCATTCCTATTTTGGAGTTCAATCTCTCTCCATGCAAATCTGCAAATGTGAATCATCATCATAATATGATAATAATACTTTAAGATTAGGTGCAACAAATGCCTATATCCGCTGAATAGATTCAACATTTAACTTTAACATATTGAAAATACTATTTAACGTTAGTGTTTTCAAAATTAATCTACATCATTAAAAAGTTATCCCAGACGCTAACGCTAATTAAAGACAATATTCCTAAACAAAGCCTTAATGGGATTGGAAGAATACCCCATGGCAAGAGCTGTGAGACTCCAGGCAACAGCAGCAGTTGAAACAGCAGACGATGGCATAGCAGTTGAACCATCACTGTTCCAATGCCGGATATGGTCAATGCCGACTACGAGAGACGCGACCCCAAACACGCTCGCGATCAGAGAAAACACGACGAAGAATCCCGTGGCTGCATTCCCCATTGAATAACATATCGGAGAGAACTGCTCTGGCAGATCGAATCCCGAGCCTGCGAATAAACATTAAGAAAAAAACTTGAAGTACGAAAACTCGTTCGTGTATAAAAAAAATCAATCTGAATAAGACTAGAATATGAAATTTATACCAACAAGACTCTCATGTGAGATCATATTGTCAAGAACCAAACAAAACTAAAAGTAGTTGATCAAGCCATACCAATAAAGAACCCTTCATTGATGGCTTTGTTAGTAGCCCAGCCTCCAATGGCCAAGACTACAGAATACATACAGAAATTTAGCGACAAAAATGCCGTCGCGACAGCTTTCGTCATCCTCCCGATTTTTACCCGGCCTGTGAACAAATCAGTGAAGAATGGCAATTTTTTTTCTTTCGTGTATTTACTCAGACAAATTAAAAATGTCTTTGGTGTGAGTCTAAAGACTATGTGGTTTTCATGTATTTATGATGGGATCAGAGAGAGGCAAGTGATGGAGGGGTTTTTTGTTCTTTTCTTGTGTTTCTGTGTCAAGTCTTGTGGGGATTTGGGAAATGGCTTTTGCTTCCTCGTTGCAATGGCATTGGATTCTTATTTGCCAGCACACCCATTTCTCTCAAGTCTCCCAAAGCCACATTCTTTCTTCCATTGGAAATGGAGAGGAATAGATTTGGAAGGGAGGTCTCATAATTTTTTACTAGAAATTGATGATTCGCAGTAACACAAAATGCCTAGATAAAATTTTATGGTTTTGTGCAAAATGTAATCCATCACAGTAATATTGCAAAAACGTGGTGTACAAAAGTGATATAAGTACCATTTTTGATACCACAATTGTACCACTTTGGTTAGCAAAATAGAAACAACCGTGTTACGATTACACCAAAGAGTGTACTCTAAAGTTACACCAAACATATACATTAACATTTTGATAGTTAACACTCGCATAAAAAATCAGGTGCAATAAAAAAAATTTGCACTAACATATCTTAATATTATTTTATTCCATTATTTTTATATCATACAATATTTTGATATTACTTGTGTGACTCATAATTGTAACGGAATAAATATATGATTAATTCGTATAATTTATAAATTTAAGTCATGCTAGAAACTTACAAAGTTTGACATCAGTGTTTCATATACAAAGAGTCACTCAAGCTTCTTCTTTTATGAGTCACTCAAGCTTCTTTTTTATGAATTTATGGTTGGCTTTTGCTCTTTGTCTTCTGCCCTTCAACAATATGTTTTCCATTAGAAATTGAATAAATTCTCAAAACAATCCTTTCAATAAGAGTGTTTTTTTAAATCAGTTCTCAATAAACAATAATTATCAACATAGTCCTTTGTAATTGACAAATATTTCTTAAATAGTTCTCTCTCAAAAATATCTATTAAATGACAGTTAAATAGAAATTATTTTTATATTTTTCATCTTCTAAATTATGAACACATCCTCCAAATGGTCTGTTCCAATTAAATGGGTGGCCGCTAGAGGAACGGACCCTTCCCGAGTAGGCTCATGGATTACCTATCGAGAAAACATTTACTTAGAAAGTATCGATTTAGAAAAATACTTAATTATAAAAGAATAATTTGAAAACATACTTTAAACTTAGATGATATAAAATATCAAAATATTTTTATTTGACTGTCATTTAGTAAATATTTTTAATAGATGACTATTTAGGAAATGCATTTCAAATTCTCAATTATAAAAAACCACATTCGTAGTTATTATTTGTTGAAGACAATTTTTAAAAAATTACATTATTAAAAAGGACCGTTTTAAAATTTTAAACTATGCTTTGGCTTCCAAAAAGAAAAAAATTAAGATATGGTCTTTTCTACTTTCTTCTACGATCATCTGGGTCAAATGATTTTAAAATTATGCGTATCTTCCCGGCCATTATTAAAAAAACTCAAATTTCTACCCTTCGCCATTCCTAGCTTCTCAAGGTCTCTTGCTGCCGATGGAAACCGCTCAAATCCGATAATGGATCATCCCAACTGCTACTCAGTCCTGGCCGATCATCTCCGGAACAGAAGAATTGATGAAGCCCGCGCGCTTTTCTCCAGAATCCAGCTCCCCAGCGTTTATCTCTGCACCAAAATGATCGCCGGGTATGCCGAGAATGGGAGGCTGAAGGATGCACTGGACCTGTTCGACGAAATGCCCGTGAAAGATGTTGTCATGTGGAACTCCATGATCAAAGGGTGCGTGGGTTGTGGGGATGTGGGGATGGCAATGGAGCTGCTCGATGAAATGCCCGAGAGAAATGTGGTTTCTTACACCACTGTGATCACTGGGTTCTTGAAGTTTGGGATGGTCGAGGAGGCGGAGGTCCTGTTTCACGAGATGCCATCAAGGGACATAACCTCCTGGAACGCGATGGTTTCTGGGTATTTTGAGAATGGCAGGGTGGAGGAAGCGCTGAGGTTGTTTGAGATGATGCCACATAGGAATGTTGTTTCTTGGACCACGGTGATCTGTGGGCTTGACCGGCACGAGAGGAGCGACGAGGCATTGTTGAGTTTCGCGAAGATGTTGGGTTTTGGAATAAAACCCAACTCAAGCACTTTCGCGTCCGTTCTAACCGCTTGCGCGACCACAAAGGACCTTGTTTTAGGGTGTGAGATTCACGCCGCGTCCACAAAGGCTGGTTTGAGATTCGATGTATATGTCACTGCTTCACTCATCACATTTTACGCCACTTGTTTGAAAATCGACGATTCTTGCAGGGTTTTTCAGGAGAAGATCCACAAGAATGTGGTGGTGTGGACGTCTCTAGTAACTGCCTACACCCTAAATCATATGCATAAAAATGCACTCTCTCTTTTCGCGCGCATGCTCCAAAACTGCATTCCCCCCAACCAATCATCCTTCACCAGTGCATTGAACTCGACCTGTGAAGTACAGTCGGTTGACCATGGGAAAGAGATTCACTGCCTCGCGTTCAAACTAGGGTTCAACGCCGATGCCCATGTGGGTAACTCCCTAGTTGTCTTGTACTCCAAATGCGGGGACATGAGTGATGGTCTTCTCATGTTTAACGAAATAAAAGACAAGAACATCGTCTCGTGGAACTCAATCATAGTTGGGTGCGCGCGACACGGTCTAGGAAACCACGCGCTCGGATTGTTTGCCCAAATGGTGCGCAAAGATGTTGTCATCGATGACATCACGCTCGCGGGTTTGCTCACAGCTTGCAGCCACTCTGGCATGTTTGGGAAAGCAAGGGCGATATTCGACTACTTTTCCATGTCCATGGAGATCATTAAGATGGAGCATTATGCATGTATGGTGGATATCTTATGTCGCGATGGGAGATTGGATGAAGCGGAGAGTCTAGTGAATAACATGCCCGTTGAACCCAATCTTTCGGTATGGGTAGTTCTGCTAAGTGGCTGCGCGAAACATTGTGACGTAGAATTCGCCGAAAGAGCTGCCGAAAAGGTATTTCAGCTTGATCCAAACTGTAGTGCAGCTTATGTTATGCTGTCAAATATGTATGCTGCAATTGGGAGGTGGGATGATGTTGAAAGGATTAGAGTGGAAATGAAGAGGAAAAGGAACATAGTAAAACAACCTGGATTCAGTTGGGTGAACGTTAGAGGGCCGTTTGGAACTCCGGAAATGTTAGAGAAAAAAAATTGATGTACTGTCAAATATATTTGGTTCACGCGGTTCCACTCGAGAGTCCCCTCAGACCCGACCGGACAGTTACTGAAAAGAGGTAAATTGAACTTCGATCGCAGATTGGTGGTAACTGGCAAAGAATGGAGGCTACATCTGGTACTTGTAGAGACCTTATGAATTCTTTGTGACTTTAATTTGTTTAGTTAGTGTATGTCTTGTATTCTATGTAACTGTATATATTCTTTAATACCTCATTTTTAATGGGTATATGAATTATGTTTAAATCTTGTGAGATATTAAACAAAAAACATATTTCAATGATTGTTGAATTTTTCTCCAATCTTAATGTTATACTCCCTGCGTCCCAAATTATTTGCAACGTTTGCTTTTTCAGCAGTCGCGGAAATCTTTGTTTATTTCTACGTTTTCATTGGTTATTTAATAAAATAAAATATTCTTGACACCTCTTATTTCGAAAAACTTTTCATGTAATTTTTTGATATGTAAATTTTATTTTTTATTTCTATACCAATATCTAAATAAAATGAATTGAAAAAATTTGATATTTTGCCTCGGGAATACAAATGTGGCAAATATTTAGGGAGAGTATAACATTATGAGCCTTGGTTACAAATAAAGGTGGAGAGTAGAGAAAAAATACAGCGTTCATTGGGATAATTTTTGTAAAAAAAATTTTAATGTTTTAATCAAAATGAGTTGAATAGTAATTAAAAATTTTAAGATTTGCACAAAACAATCCAACATTTTTGCACCGTAGTAAATTTTCTTAAAAGGTACGGTAGTTAATTATAATACTCCTTTTGTCCCAATTTAAATCGTTTGTTTCGGCTGAAATTATTTTTAATATAATTTATTTAAGAATTGAAGCGGAGTTAGAAAATAAAATTTATATATTTAAAAACTACGGAATACATTAAAAGTTTTACGAAACAAGAGATAACATGACTATATTTTTTATCAAATGTATAACAAAAACAGAGAAAGAAAGTGAATAAAATTTGATTTTATAAATAGTAAACAAGCAACTTAGTTTGAGAGGCACAATAATCCCACCTTTTTTTAGAGGTGTTGTCTGAAATGCACCCACAAAAAATATTAAACAAACAAAATTCATTTCGATGTATAATATATTTATATGAACCTAATTTCAAAAGTGATATCACTTCTTATAAATATTCCATCCGTCAAAACTCTTCCCGTTTAAAAAAATGCACGCTTTTAAAATTTTGATGTTATTTTCTATTTATGACTTTTTTATCCTACACATATCATCCTACTCTATTCTAAAGCAAGGGTTAAATTTAAAAATATTAACAAAGTTATTCATTTTAATTATGTGTCTTTTTTCAAGCATGAAGATTTTTATGAAAGAGTATTAAAGACAATTATTATCAAGAATCAACACATGCTTAATTAAAAGAGAGGATTGCAATGCACAAATTTTCCATTAAATATTGCCGTGCAAAGGTTTTGTTTGATAATAGTATATTAGGAACTTTTTCAATGCTATAGATTAATTCTAGTAATTTTAAATCTAAGCACTGTCCTTATACTCCTATCTAAAAATTATTTTATTGTTTACTATTCAAAAAGTCAAATTTTATTGACTTTGTTTGTCTATTTTTGTTAACCATTTGATAAAATTATATTGTCATGTGTTCTCCAGTTTTGTAGATCTTTTGATATAATTTTTATTTTAAAATTTAGCACCAATTTTCATATAAAATAATTTAAAAATAACTTTGTTCAAACATCGTAAAACACAACGGGAAGATAAACAAAAATTTAATATCCTAATGAACTTTTTCTTTGGCAAAAAAATACATTTTTTACTTTTGTGGGTCCCAAAATGATTTACATTTTCATAACTTTTGTTTGTCTTCATGTTTTTATTAATTATCTGATAAAATAAAATATTGTTGTTATTTCTTATTTTGTAAAATTTTGATGTGCCCTATAATTATTAAATATGTAATTCATAACTTTTATTTCTACACCAATTTATAAATAAAAGAGTTTTAAGAAATAGGATAGTATGAAAAAAATCCACAAAAAATAAAAAAAATGTTGTGGGCTCCACAAAAAAGAACTCAAATGCCAACGGAATGAGGAAAATAACTGCCGAAGCAAGAAGCGGGTAATGCCGTTACTTCGGCACGCGCCTGAGAACGCATTCATATAACCATTTCTTTAGCGCCATTTCTTCATCTCTTCAAACCAACCGAAACAATTCTCTCTCCTCCATAGCTCTCCCGCGATTTCTTCAAGAACGATACGCAGTACGGCCTCTCCCTCTCCCCAATTCATCAGCTCCCCGTTCAGATTTCACTGTTTCTCGACGATTTCTTTTTCACTCTCATCGATTCGCTTTTTTCCTCAATTCTCAGGTGTCAAATTCATGGCGGACGCGAGGACGGACACTGGCGGAAGCTCCGCCGGAAAAAGGATCGGAGATCTCTGGAATAAACTCTTCGGCTGGGTGATGAAGATGAAAAGGGACGAACAGAGTGGAATTTCCGAGGAACGCCTTCCAATCGGAGCGGATCGCTCGCTTGGAGGTAATTCATCTTCCTATTCTTCGTTTCTGGTGAATCAACTCATGCGCACATTGAATTCGAAGTTTAATTGTGTGAAATTTTGGGCAGAGAGAGTTCTGCGTGAGTGGATGTCCAACGATTTGTCCGGAGAGGAATCCGAACCAGAGGTTGTCCGATCCGAACCATCTGTGGAGCCCGGACAGGTGAGGGAGATGATGCTGGAAAGGTTGGGGTTAGGTTCAAATGGATCTGGAACTGATTCCGATGGTGCGGGCCACGGTGTTCTTGAAGATTTCGGGATTGAGACAAACATTGAAGGGTTTCGGGAACGACTTCAAGAGATTGTTTGCGAAGAAAGTTGTGCAGCTGATTCACTTGAGGGAGTTGCAGAGATGTTCCAGGAAGGTGATGGGGAAGAAGAAAGCTTGGTGAACTCCGATCGATCTGAATCTGAGTCTGAATCTGAATCAGGTAAGAATTAGACATTTTTTGCTTGTGTAATTTTCAAACTGCTACTCCAAAATTTTTGGGTAACTTTGCAAATTGTAATCTACTAAAGCAAGCTTGATGACCAAGTGCAATTTGGGTTGGAACCAGACCCAATCGTAGAACTCAAACAAAAGTTTGGCCACGAACTCTTTGTTAGGGATGAGCAAATACCAAAACCGATACCGAAAAAGTCCATTAGAAAAACCCCAAAGAACCCGTACTGAGAGCAAAAAGTATCAAACCTTACTGTCTCCATTTTGCAAGAGCTTGGATATTAATGAAGTGACAATTACAGAGGGGAATGGCGTAATTTTGCTTGCCATTTGACGGTTTGGTCTGCTTAGGCATTGGCATTTTTTGCATTGGTAACAAACACTAGTAACAACATTCTCTATTGCAACGTAGGGTACTGGCTCATGTTCTTTGGCAACTCTATGCCTAGCCTATTCTTTTCGATTGACATGTAAAAGAATCAATGTATTTTCATGTTGCTTTTCTTTTGTGGAATTCTATGAACTGCTTCCTAAGATGAGTTGCAATTTTCAACATTGTGACATTGCAGCTGGAATGGAGTGGGTTTCAGGCGTCTTCTCGGCTGCTGGGCATGGCTTGATCTGGGTTCTTGGCAAGGTCTGTTGGTGTGCAGACGTTCTGCTGCAGCACTATAACGCCCATGGTTTCTAATCTTCTGTTCTGGATACATTTCAGTGATGACAGTTGTTACAGTGGAAAATGTAAACAGTTGTTACATTTCAGTGATTTCATTTACAGATTTGGGATCATTCTTTGCTGGGTTTATTGATTTTTTTGTTGGCAATAGCCAAAAGTAAGCTTGGGAGATTGTAAACAGGTTTTTTCGAAGCTGGATTTTCACTTTGTTGTCATTTGAATATTTTGCTTATATACTTAAGACACTAAAACATTCCCCCAGATAAAACCTAGTATATTTAGTTATTTTTATGACACGTAATTCGTGTTAAATGAAATGTCTCTACAAATATGATAATTATAAACAAATTTTAGAGAACCGTTGGTTATTTCAATAACTATCAAAATGTATTTTAACAATATCATGTTTTACTGAATGTAACAAGTCATTTTCCTCAAAACTATATATTAAGGTATTAATTGCTTAAAATACCCTAAAACTAAGGAAATGAAATTTCCACCTTTTCGGAAAGGATTTGTTCATTCGATTTTGTAATGCGATTAATATTTCCTAAATATTTGAAAACGACTAGATTCTCTCAGTTCGCGTATTTCAAATCAAATGAAACAAATTTAAAAATTTATCTACTCAATATGTAATTATGTTTTTATCATGCGAATTCCAAGAACAAAAAAACTAAACTAGAATAATATAATTTATTATTCATTACTTTCACCGCGGTATTCAAAACTGAGGGAATTTCATGCAATTATAATCCAAAATATCCGAAAAAAACAGATACACTCTATAAAAGCCGTCCTTAATCAATTAAACCATGGTCCGCCAGCAGCTGTGGTCGTCTCCACAAAGCTCCCCCATTCCATAAGACCTCTGAACCTTAATTTTAATCAAAACAATCAAATGAAAACAATTCTATGTAAGAAAATAATTTGTAAATTTACATATATTGCATGAAAGCATTGAATGTAAACGGTGTTATAGTAACAGAGAGCTAATCGTAAATGAAGCAAACTGTGTCGCAAAGACCCGTTCCTGTTTCCAGTTCATATCTGCCTTAAAAACGAGACAACCGGCAACCCAAATCATACCGGGCATCAGATACCACAGGCAATCCACAAATTTACATGAAAATTGAATTCAAATCTCTTCTGCAAAATAAAAAAGATCTAACCGCAATCTCAGCCGAAAGATGGTGAATATTTTGAATTCAACAGCATATTTCAGTCAATCTGGGTAAATTTTCATCCTTGATTGCGATTGTGAACATACAGAAATTGAATAAAAGCAGAAATGGAAACTGGAAAGAGATAAAAAGGAAGATACGAAGGAGATCAGATGGTAGTGCATGTTTAGAAATCATCATCCAAAAGCTGCAGATGTGTTGGGTACAAATCATCACGCCTCTTCGCGGAAATCAACAAAAAATATCATAGAGACTGAGAGAAATTCATTCACGGATCAGACATTGATAGTCAATCACCATGTTGCCATCTCGATTTCGAGTGCAACTAAGACTGGGGCGACAACAACTGTCATCACTTCCCTTGAAAAACACGAATAAAAAATTATTAAATTATCATAAAACAGAGAAATTCATCCGTGGATCGAGAGTAAAGGGAATCAGAAATTGAAGTCAATCACCATGTTACGATCTCGATTCCGAGTGCAACTAAGACTGGGGCGACATCACTGTCATCGCATCCCTTGAAAACACACACAAAAAGAAAAAACAGAATGGAGGAATTGAATTGGAGTTGCAGAGATCTGCGCGGTGGTAGAATTGGGGAAGAAGACGATGGAGGGATGTGGGGAGGAAGAAGGATTTATATAGGATTGGGAAGAGCGTTAGAGATAGGGTTTTGGGAGAAGCGGGAATGGGCTTTGGGCAGGCCGCCGCCGCCGCCGTGGAACCCGATGGAAAGAATGGGTTTTGGGTTTGCCATTATGCTGCCTCTCATCCTCTCGGCCCACTGGTTCCTTCCATGTAAAATATGTTTAAAATAAAATCATAACTTAATACTCAAATGTTTGATATACTCCGTCCAACAATAAAGTTCTCGTTCACTATTCAGATCGTCAAATTTTATTTACTTTGTTGATCTATTTTGGTGTCTTATTTGATAAAATAATATATTTATGTTACATCTAGTTTTGTAAATTTTTTCATGTAGTTTTTAAATAAGTAATTTTTATTTTTAAATTTTACGTAGTATACCAGTTTTCATATAAAATGATATGAAAATAGTTCTAGTCAAACATTGTAACGCGCAACGAGAACATTATTTATGGAAGGAGAAAATAGTAAATATTATGAATGATGCACTATCAAAGTAGAAAGTAATAAACAATATATGCAATATTTTCTATGTGTGCTATTGTTATTACTTTAATCCATTCTAAATTAATTGTCATATTCCACAGCTCACAAGTCAAATTTTTTCTTCTTTTTTTTATTATTTTCTTTAATCATTTGTTAGTACTATAACATAGTAATATCACATTTTATTTTACAAAACATTTGATATAATTCTTTAATATATATTCTAAAAAATCTATTTTAAAATTTTATACCACTTTTTAAACAAATAAAATTAAAAATAAACTCGGCTAGATATCATTATCCGTAATAGGTCAATAAATTTAAGGCCGTGAGAGTATGTGTGTGTGTCATTATTAATGTGCAATTAGCAACCATAATAATGTCTATTTAAACAAAATATATTTATAATTGTCTTGTTTCTTCCTAGAAGTATACGTACCTCGATTTATACTCCCTCCCTCCACAAATAAATTTTACATTACGTGTTACGATGTTTGACTGAAGTTATTTTCAAATCATTTTATATGAAAAATGGTGTAAAATTGGAAAATAAAAATTAGATATTAAAAAACTATATCAAAAGATCTACAAAACTAGAGGTGAAATGACTATATTATTTTATCAAATGGGTGACGAAAATAGGCCAACAAAGTGAATAAAGTTTGACCCTGTGAATAATGAATAGTGAATGTAAAATTTATTTGTTGACGAAGGGAGTATAATACAGAGTAATAAAATTGTTGATGTTCTTATAATTGTATTATTAACGTATCGCTTTTCCAATTGGGTTGTTGTTAACAGATCGGCCCGTGGGTTATGGGACGGACCCAGTAAATGAAAGGAAAGAAAAGACAATTATAATGGGAAGCATATGAAAGAAGTCAAAGAGGAAGGGAAAAAGATTGAAATACAATGTGAAGAACATTGAATGATATGTTTCCAAGCGACTAAGCCGTGTACTTGCTGGCCAAAACTACTAGCACGACGCAACCTCCAATAGACAGACCTTAGTCGGGCTACAAACGTGCACGCAACTGAGAAGGGAGCAACGAAACTCACACGAGTTCGGCGAGGAGGGGATGATGACATCAACCCACTCGTTGTCCACCAACTCGCAATGCCCGTTCGGCTTTAGGATGGTGTGAAACTGGAGTTTCTCTATCTGCTTGGCCAACTTCTCCATGAAACCAATGGCGAATACCATGTTCAATTCGTCCTCTGTGTCATTCACGTCTTTGAATTGTATTCCCACGTTTGCTTTGCATGAATCGGTGAAACCAAGTACCATCTGCTGGTTTTTGTATCCGTGATTGGGAGAACATATCTGAAATGCAATCAACAATGCAAACAATGGTTGAGAGAGAAAATGTTGATTCATTCTTCTACGAAAGGGTAATATTGTCAAATGGCATTCCCTTGCCTGAACATTTCCCCAAAAAAAGTCACATACTTGGACTAAAACTAGCATACATTCGAATAAGGGTCTGTTTTGAAAGATGGAAAATGAGTTCTGAAAGAATCCTTAGGGAAGATATATTAATTTTCTAGTATTTGGTTCAAAGTTCTGAAAATGAAAAAGGAAATTAGTTTTTTTGTGATAACATAATAAAACATGTTGAGTTTTGATCAGAGAAGTATGAGAATGGTGGAAAATGTGTTCATTTACCGTAAATTTCAGAAACCATTTTATGTCGACTCCTATTTTAAGGAAGAACCAAACACCGGAAAATGGAAAAATACTTGGGGAAGTCATTTTCCCTCCCTCCTCCCATTCGAACCTTTTTTTTCGTGTGGCATTTTCTCACAGAGAGCTAATGCCAAACGGAACCTACACTTTTTTTTTTTGAAAACACGGAACCTACACTTCAGTATATTGCCTCACCTGAATATAGTCAACATTCATCTCATGTAGATTTTGAAATAGATTGTGAGATGACAATACGTCAACAATGCCTCCGGGTCCAACTGGCCTTTGGAGGATTTCCCATGGCGATTTCATCAAGATCTTGTGTTTGTTTTCTTCATTTGAAATACTAACAACTGGAAGCTTTTCTTCTGGCAAGAACCAGACCTGTATTGGTTGCAAAGAGGGAGAAGACTCAAAGTTGGGAATCAAGTTGGAAAAAAAAATTGCATTGCCATGCTCTACTTGTGAAGTTGTGTTGTGAGACTCTTCCCGAATATTGTCAGATTTGCCCCTCTAACTTCTTAATGGTGTTAATTTTGGTCCAGTACGAAAACTACAAATAGATAATCTCATTATGAATACCTTTTTCGTGGAAAATTGTAATTCTCACCGGAACAACGTAATTGGCAACTTTCCAGCAAAAAAGCCCTCAACGCGATATTTTAAATTCATACAGGACAAAAACATGCACCGCCAAAAACTTACGGGACCAATTTGGCAATTCACCCAACTCTCAATTAGAGTTCCAAGCAAGCAGAGGTTTATGTATTAAAAATATAGATCTTATATTTACTGATCTTTTTTAGCATGAGTTTATACTGTTAGGTAGTCTATAAGCTTAATTACCAATACAATTTAATGCAGCCAACCCCAACTAGTTGGGATAAAGGTGCTGATAATGATCCTGATGATCTTTGATCTTATATTTCCAACAATTTATTTGAATAATAGTGAAGCAACTTTTGAATAACAAACATGACATACCTTCTCTGAGTCAAAAGAGAAAAAATCGTTATTCATAAACAGCTCATGTAGAGAATCAACAGAATGAACAGGACAGATCAATACCAAAGGTACAGATGAACGATCCTCCACCTACACAAAACATAAAACGGATCAGACAAGTATTTAAAGAAGCCTACATGATGGGTATATATTGGGAGTTGGCCCAATGCACTCAGCCCAGTTGATCACGGTTCGTAATTAGCGCCCTAAATTATGGATCTGATCATACTTAACGCCCCTTATCTTGATATTCTAAGGGCAATAATGCTTCTGTCTCTCTAGTATTATTCTCAATCTATACTGATCTACTGTGCATAATCCTTGGTGGATCAATCTCTACCTATGGAGAATTGGAGATGAGATGGATTTTCCTTTCTATTCATTTAGACATGAAAGATTACCCTGATCAATCTTTCGTCATCATTTAGCAATGCTTTTAGATGCTGATATGTTTCTTCCATATTGTTATCCGAGTCATTTTTAAGAATAGACAAAACAAGTGCAGCCTTCCCAGAAGAAATGAGATGTTGACCCCGCTCAGAATGCTCCCCTTTTCCACTATAACATAATTCTTCTGAGACTTTTAGTGTATGACTTGCTTTGGATGTTCTTGCGAAGTCGGGAAAGCTCCACCTGGCACCAAATGTTTCAAAACTTACATGATGATGATATTCATTGGAAAAATACCTAAATAAGACTAAAACATACAAGTTTGTTTTCCTCTTCATATAGGTCTTGGTTGCTCTTTAAGAAAGAAAAAGAATTTATAGTAATTATTACTCCCCCCCCCCAATCCCATAAAGATGGTTTAGTACCTTCTTTTAGCCCGTCTCACAAAAATAGTCCAGTTTCTCTATGGGTATGAATTTTTCTTTTCCAGGATTATCTCTAATTAATCGCCAATATCCAAATCCAGTACTACTTACACATATGACACTGTTAACTTTAAAAAGGGTAAAAATGGTCATTGCATATAAAAATAACTGTTCCGAGAAACTTAACTATCATTTTGTGAAATGGGATGGATGGTATTTGAGAGTGAATAAGTCCTATTTTTTAAACAGAACAATAGTGGTACTACATTGGAATTTGACTCATGTTTTAGTTCTCTCTAGTGCAAAATCTGACAAAGTTAGAACCAAATGTATGTTTACATATTGAAAACAGAGAAATTTTTAGTTTACCCAACAGCCTAACATGATAAGTGATAGCTAGAAGTTAAAAACAAAAACGGAAGAACAAAACCTACAGTAGTAATTTTTGCAAGCAATAAAAAAACTTCACCTCTTGGGCGAAGTTCCCGTATTTTTCAATGCATGACCAAGTAACTTTGAATTTACAGAAACAATCTCTTTTGCAAGTCCACTTCTTTGGCTTTTTTCTCCATACTTGAACCCATGAAAAACATGTTGTTGCTCCATATCATGCAGTTTCTTCTTGGCTTGTATAAGGTGTCTCTGAAACTTCCTTCTTTCTTTCCACTCCTGAAACACAACGGCAAATCAGTAGTAAAGTCAGGCAAAATTAGAAAATAAGAAAAGTGGTCAAGAAGCACTTCTCCATGAATTGAATTCAAATTTTTACAACAGATAACCAATACAAGATGATACAGACAACTTCAGCATCCATCAATACGGAAGGGGATGATACGCTTGATATTATTAATATTATTTACTTTTATTATTACTCCGTATAATTTAGTAATATACTCCATAAGAATTAGTTTCCTATCATTATTATTAGTAATATAATTAGTCCTTTCTTGTATTAGTAGTATTGATAGTAATAGTTTCCTATTAGTATTAGTACTCTATTTTAGTTAATATTCAATAGTCAACTTATTACATTGGGACTGTATTAACTTGCTCAACAAAACTCCTGGGACTATTATAACTAGAGTTGTTATATTCATCAATAAAATCATCAATGGTTGGAGTCAAAACATTAATTATGAGAATCCAGTCAGAGATTGTTCTCCCCTCCTAGCCAAGGGCAGGTTTTATCTTCTACTTCTTTTACGTTTTCTCCTACAGTCTAACAGGTGGGGAGTACGCAAACCTAACCCCCACCCCACTTCTACCCAAGATGCAAGAAGGCTGCTTTATGAAAATGCAATTACTTAGCAGATAGTTTCAATACTATAAGGAAAGGAACACTAGTTTCAAATACACAAACTAGTTGAGAGGTGAAAGAAAGTATGCCTCACAAGCTGGCGCCTTTCTTTCTTAGGTTTCTCATGAGAGCGGATATTTAATTCTAGGAGGCCCTTTGGAGGCGTGATCAACATTTCCTTTTTACTTAAGTCAACATCGGGAACAATCGACTCTACGAATGGAACCCAAACAAGGCGACCAGAAGCACCCGCTTCCCTCAATGGCTTCCCGGATTGACCAGGTGAACCGAAAGATGATTCAAGTTCAACATGAAGAAGATCATTTGCTCCAGTGTTGAAAACATTATTAACAGTTCCCACTAACTCTCCAGTTTCCTGAAAAGCATGATCAATAAAACGAATAGCAGATCATTCACTCGATTTCAAAAAGTGCAAGGTAACAAAAGTAACGCTTTAAATGAACAATAGATCATATTTTCAACTAAAAATATTAAAATATACATCAGATCTATTTCAAACACAAACCTTAAGAATAACTCTCATGCCAACAAGGTCACGAGTATAAAATTCACCTTCCTGCAAAGCTGGTCTATCATTGTCAGCTACAAGTACGGTTGATCCAACCAGTTTTTGTGCCTGAGAGAAAGAAAGCATAATTTGATTTTCTCGAGAAGTTAGAGAAACATATTTTATTCCTATTGTCACATTTTTTACTGACGCCGAGATTTTTTTCGGCTAGCTGTAGGTACAAAAAAACAAACTATAATTACTCTTGCTTAGTACTCCCAGTTTCCCACTAGGGGCAGGGATTTATGCTAACATCAAATTCTCTATATTCATATTTTACGAGAGCAAGTTCAGGAGAACCTGTTCTACAGTGTTGATTTCATTAAATTTAACTATCCAACTCTTCTGCCCGGGATTCCCCCTTCCCTCAACCAGCTCAAATTCTTGGATGATCTGCTTCCCTGAAAATTGTTGCCTCAGCCACCGCCTTCCTGGCTATTCAGATCATAAGAAGTCTAGATTAAGAGAATATTCAGAACGAATATCATAACACCAGTTCTTTTATATCATCTTCTTAAACCCTTTTACCTTACAAAATCGCAGTTCAGGAAAATCTGTGGCAGGCTTCACCCTAACCTCACCTTGAAGCCCATGAGCACTACATACATATCCAATGTCTACAAATTCCAGTTTTTTCACAGCACCAGTTTCCAAAATCTCATGTACACCTTACAATGCACAAAAAAAACATCAGATAGCTCTTTGAAGTTAAGCTTTAAGAAAACTTTGTTAATCAATGCAACCTTAAATGACCACGAACACTTGAAAACTGCATCTCAATAATTAACAAAGCTAAGAGCAACAAAAACAAAAGATTTCGAATTCCACAAGCTTCAAGATGCTGATAAAAATCAAATACATACGGAGTACATGGGAAAGGCGTGAAAAAGTTTACCCGAAAAGAAATAAAAACTGAAACGGGGAAAGTGGATTAATCCAAAACCAGAAAGAACATAAATTGTAAAAATCACAGCTTTTGGGGGGGGAGGAGATCTACCATTGCAGTGCAGTGAAGGAACGGGTGGCTGGCAGACGCTGGAAAAGGCGAGAGATGGCTGAGCTGTGAAGAGAGATGCCGGAGCCAAACCGGTGGCTTGGTTGCTGAATGGTACTCGGCGGCGCAGAGGCGGCGGAAAAGAGAGAGAATTGGGGGAATGGAGCAGAGCTGGGGAAGAGAGGAACTGCATTGCTTGTGAAGAAGAAATGGGATTCTAGTGATAATTTTAGTTCCCCCTACGGTCCGACCCATAAAAGACATGCCCAAAAAACACAACTTTGTACAAAAATATTGAAATGAAAACACAACTTTGTACAAAAATATTGAAATGAAAACACAACTTTGTACAAAAGTATATCAAAACTTTGTTCAAAAAATGCGTAATTAGAGATTCATAAATGCAATGAAAAAATGATAACAATTTTATATTTAAAAATAATTATTTTTTAATAATTCAATATTCAAATATTATTGAGCATGAATAATAAAAAAATTCATCATTGTAGTGATAGTAAATTGAATAAGAATAATAATAATAATAATAATAATAAAATATTAAAAGAAGAAAAATATAATACAGAGTGTTCCGTATATGATAATATTAAGTACACAAATAAGAACTTGGAATACTCCGTAGATACCCTCAAACGAATCCGTCTATGATATTTGATTTAAAATTTTGAGTAAATTTCTAAAATAATCCTTTGTAATAAGGTGTTTTTCCAAATCAGTCATCGATAAGTTTTAATTACCTACGTAGTCTTCTATAATTGAAATTTATTATCAAGATGGTCCTTCGTAAATAATGTTACTCAAATGATGATTAATTGATGATATTATGGTATTTTTATCCGCTAAATTTAAAATTAATTCTTAAAATGATCATTTATAAAGAAGTGTTTTTCTAAAATGGTTTTTTCTAATTAAAGATGTGTATTTATTTTGAAATTTAAAAGATTTTTTATAAGTTTTAAATAATTCATGAATTATTTATAGTTAGTGTATTTTTTCAATTTTACATTTAGCTGTATAAAAATAATTATTTCAAAAATATACTTTAAATTTGGATGATCAAAACACCAAAATATCTCTCAATTAATTATCATTTGAGTAACATTATTTATAAAGGACTATCTTGAGAATAAATCACAATTACAGAAGACTATGTAAGTAATTAAAACTTATTGAGGACTAAATTAGGAAAACACCTTATTACAAATGACCATTTTGGGAATTTACTCTAAAATATTTATATCCTGTCCCATTTGAAATTGAATGGGATTCGGTTCAAACAATTTGGTACTATTACAACCTCTTCTATATGGTATCATACTAGTTTGATTTTTTTCCCCACCCATAGAATCCACTCTCTTTGCACACTGCTCTTTTCGTCTTAATTTAGGGTGCATTTCGTTCTCCTGATTTGATCTAATTAGATCTGATTTTTTGAAGATCTGATATGATCTTGTTTGATCTGATTACAGTTATAATTAAAGTTGTTTACGATATAGGATCGCGATGGCGAGGGGGGAGGGTTGCAGGTTGTCAGAATATATCGTTGATGGTGAGAGGTTGCAAAGGTCGGCTTGCGGGTTGTGTTCAATGAGAATATCTATAACATATCCACGACGATGGGAGGTTGCGGATGGGATGTCGGTGACAAGAACTATAAAGATCTTCGATGGTGGTTATAGAGAGTCGTCGGCAGTGAAGCCAGATAGTCGTCGACGGAGGTGGCGCAACGGTAGATGGGTCACAGTGATAAAGAGGGCAAATACGCTCACGGGTAAAATAGAAAAGTCAACACATTTTTCATCACACATAAATATGCATGTTCGGTCAAATTTGGAAGATAAAAGTTAGACGGAATAAGTATTTTTATCAACAGAATGAGCAGTCTTCATTGATTTCTACAAAGATCCCAAACCTTCTCCAGCAAAATTCTTCTAAATTAAAATCAAACTAAGATGCTCTGAAATATATATGTATGAGTACATGGATAAGATAAATTGATACACACACACACACATATATGGGAGCGTCTAAAATGACACCAGTTGCTTACGCCAGTTCGTTTAGGGTACCTACGGTGCTCCGTTTGTAAAAAATGATGGTTCCTACCCCCTAACCCTCCCCCTAAACCCCCCCAGCCCAGCCCCCCTCCCACATATAATACTATTATTTTACTCCCTCCACTTTTGACATTACACGCTTTTTAAGAAAAGTTATAAAGTGTGAAGACTTTTCAAGGTCGATCTTATGTAATAGAATAAAGTGAATATTGTATTTTGGGATGACAACGGGTTGGATTCGGGTCGAATAGTACTATGTCCAAACCTGATCCGACTTCTAAACCCGAAATTTGAACCCGAGTCGACTTTTAAACCAAAATCCCAACCCGACCCGAAAATGTCATTTAAACTCAAAATCCGAACCCGAATCTGTAATTTAACCAACAATCAATTCGACGTACCCCAATAATTTTAAAAAGAATAAATCTAAATTCTTTTGTGTCTCTTATTTTATATCTCATTTTATGATTGTGGAATTATAAAGATAATTATAAAAGGCATACTTGGTATGGTAGTACCTTGTCAAGACCAATAGAGAATTGAAAAAAAACATATTATACAGAGTGCTCATTATACACGTAGATAAGGTTTTAGGTTACAAATATTCAGGTTTAGACCCGATCGGGTCGTGTTTTGGTCGAGTCGGGTAAAATTATAAACTCACACCCGATTCGACCCGATGTCGGGTTCATGTAAAAAATTTCAGGTCGGGTTCAGATTATTTTATTCTCGGTTCGGGTTCTGATATTTTAGCGTTCAGTCAGGTCGGTTAAGATTGAGTTCGGGTTGAATTACTGTCTCTAAACTATGTTTGGTTCAAGGAATTTGAAAGGGAAAAGAAAAGAAAATGAAGTGGAAAATAGTTTTTCATGTTTGGTTATAGGGGAAAAGAAAGGAAAAGTGGAAGGAAAAGAAAATGAGAAGGCAAAATGTACCATGTGGAAGGAAAATCAAATTCCTCCCATTTTGGTGAGGAAAATGAGAGAAAATCATTTTCTTTTCTTTTCCTTCCAAATTCCTTGAACCAAACATAGTGTAAGTGTATGGATGAATGTTGCATATTTCGCAAAAGCAAGGAGTGTCAAGGAGGTAAGACCCGAGTTTGATTCATGATAATTGCGCTGGGAGACAATTATGTTAAACATATAGCCTTTGTTAGTACCAAGTGCGGGCTATCGCAGGGTCTAAGTTGACTCTCGAGGATGCTGTTCATCTTTTTTTTAAATAAAGTGAATAATGAGGATATAATGACACTTATATTAAAAGTTTTTTGCCAAAATAGAAAAGAAGAACAAATTTTAACACTATGTTTGGTTCAAAGAATTTGGAAAGAAAAGAAAATGATTTTCTTTCATTTTCCTAACCAAAAATGAAGGAATTTAGTTTTCTTTCATTTTAGTATATTTTGTCTTCTCATTAGCTTTTCCTTTCATTTTTCTTTTCTTTTCTTTTATTCTCTAACCAAACATAAAAATTTGTTTTCCATCTCATTTGCTTTTCTTTTCTCTTCCAAAATTCTTGAACCAAACATAGCGTAAGCGACACAAAAAGAATAGTGAGAAACATATTAATGGGTGGAGAGTATTTATTTCTAAAAGAATGAATGAATTATATTCTGAAGACCCCCTTAAAATTGACCGGATCGTCACTGAAAAGAAAAAAAACTAGACTTTTGTTAGACAATAATAATAGTATTACTTATGCTAATCATATATATATGTGTGTGTGTAAAATATAGTTACTTGGTTGTGGTGATGACACGTGTCATTGCATGCCACACGTGTATACTTCAGATATGTGTTATGCCACATGTAAATCACAAAATACATGTCACTCCACACATGCTTTTTTAATTTTGTATTAAATTATATTATATTTTATAAAACCTTCACTTTCCAACGATAAAAACCCTTATTTTTTCATTTTTTTATAAAATTTTCACTTTCTAACTATTTTAAAAATGTTTTTTGTTGTTTTAACATATTTTTGAAAAATATGCGAGTATTTTATAATATAAAAAATATTTATGAAATTTGTTAATAAAAAACAATGTTTCTTATAATTTTAAAAATTATCCACAATCTCAAAAGAAATTATTATATTTAAATTTTATCACATGCATCTTTATTAACTTCATAACATATTTCAATTTTTTATATTATCTTATTATATTATTTATTTTAGGGAACATATCTAAATAGTACTAAAACATATTGACTTTAACAAAGTATTACCATATATTTTTATTTTCCAATGTAGTATCACTGATCATTGTTCATTGGTCATTGTTCAAGTAAATGTCTACCATCACTAGACATCGTTCCCGTCACTAGACATTATTCAAGTACTATTTAGGGAATAAAAAGTCTCGCGAGTATACATAATTAGTTATATATCTACAAAAGATTTTATAAACTTTATTAATCTTTTAAAAAAGAAAGCTTGATATGAGTTTTAATAAACTATTCATTATTTTCCTTTTATTGCATCTCAATATAAAGATATATATAAATTTTAATACATGTACATCAATATTAAAACTAAAACTTTTTTCTCAAAGAAGATATTTTATAGTTAGAAATTATTTATCAAACATATCACATATCATTATTAAATAATTTAAAACAAATGATATTTTATTTTTTAGATGTCAAAATTTAGAATATATGTGAGCCCGTGCGAAGTACGGGTTTAATACTAGTATTAGTTATAGTAATGTTTGATTATTAGTGAGTTTCATGTTGCGCATAATTCAATCATAAATAATACTTCGTATTATTAACTTTTTCTTTTTAATTAAATCATTCTTTAAAAGGATACACTGCATTCTTTACATCACAAAATGCATTCATAAATAATATTCAATATTCTAAAAGCCATAAAATATAATGAATGAAATTTAATTTGAGGTTAGAGAAAATGCTTTATATTTATTCAGTTTGAACTTTGATTATCGATTAAATAAAATTTACATTAGATATTAATACAATCATAATTTTATTAGATTTATCTTATAAACTATTTTCAATATATTATTTTATCTAATTACTATGTACTTCTTATTTAGTTACAGGACAAGTACTCTCGACGAAAACAGTAGAATATTAATTTTTTTACCTGTTACAACTATTTACAAAATTGAGGGTTAAATTTAGAATATTAAATAATTGGCGGGTTGGTGGTTGATTATATGGATGTATTTGAGTACTTCACCATTTATTTTCATTTTTATTTATATTATTTTACAATTTATTTTGTTTTTTTAATGTGGGGTACTGATAAATGCTATAAGTCTAAATTTTTTATTCTAATTTGAGGCTTTTGACCAAAAAATATTCCGTTGAATTATTGAATATTATTCTTTCCGTCTCAAAATAAAGTTCATAGTTTAACTTAACACAAAGTTTAAAGAATGTAAAATATGTGATTGAAAGTATTGCATAGGAGACAGAAAATTTGTGAGTCACTCAAATTTTTCATTAAAAAGAAAGAAGATGCCTTATTGGGACATCCCAAAAAGGAAATAAAAAGTCTTTTTTTGAGACAGATGAAGTACTTCATATCTTAAATTTTGAAAAATCAATTTGAGAATCATATTTTGATGTTCAGTGTTCATTCAATAGTAAATTTTTTAAATTTTTTTTCTTATAAGGCATGAATACTTAAATGTAATCACAACTAAAGAAACGAGACCAATTGTTCTGTACACTTCTTGTGTTGACAAGTGTTCCAAGACCAATGCTGATGGGGTGGGGTCACAAAAATGTACTCAACTAAATTTGTGACTTTATTTTAGTAGCGGTCCTATCACACATTAATGAATTTTCCAATTATAGATAGTACAAAAGAAATTAATGTACTCCTTATTACATTCATTTTATCGTTTAGTATTTAACATTTTTCCCAATATAAAAACATATTCTTAATTGGAATTTGCATTATGATTGCGAAATAGACATGTGGATACGCATAACCGTAGAAGACGATTTCGCCAAGTGGAAATACTTGCAATTGAAGTGGGTAGTTTTCACTTTATACTCCCTCGCTTTTGGAATATAAAAAAAAATAATAAAATACTCCGTAATATTTAACAAAATACTCCGTATTGAATAATAAAAAATATGGTGTTAAATTTTTTTAGAAAAGAAAAAGATATTTTGAACTATATATATTTTTAAAAAAAGAGAAAATGAGATCATTATTATAAAAATGTACTTAAAGAAGACTAAAAAAGTACCGCATATTTTAATATAGGGGAAGTTACGCAAATAGTATTAAAACATATTAGTTTTCCAAATGTAGTACCATATGTTTTTATTTCTCAATGTACTAATGCCCAAAATCATTGGACATTGTTGCCACCACTAGTCATTATTCAAGTAATATTTAGAAAATAAAAAAGTTCAAATACTACATTAAGAAAAGACATAAGTTTTACGGAGTAGTATTTAATACAAATTTCACTTTAATCTATTGTACTCCCCTGCCTCATATCTTTTCTCTCAAAACACTTTTTCAATTTTACGAGAGTTTTTATTTATTTACATTTTTTCATGGCTTATATGATAAAGTAAACTATTTTTTTCACCACTTTTTTTATTGAACTTTTACAAATATTTCTATAAAATAGATTTAAAAAATTTGGAGTTTTTTTCTTTTTGTGCAATGAGAATAAAGATGTGAAACGGAAGGAGTATATTTTATTTTGATATATTAAATTAAAGTATATTTAGTTGTAGAAATTTTATTAAAATCATTTTGGGATGAATAAAAAGAAAAAAATGGGCGTATCGAAGGGAAAAAACAAAATAAAAGGAGATTAAGAAAGGGGAAATAGAGAGGAAAAAGCAGAGAAAAAAGGCGCATATTCTTCCCATATTCTCTTCCATTTCATCACGTCTCTCTCTCTCTCTCTCATCTCTCTCTGATCAGAGCTTGAACTGGACTGGTTTCTTGATGTGCTGCTTTCTACTTCCCCTTCAGTTCATAGGTTTTGATTCCTGGGTTTTGTCTGTTTTTCACTAATTTTAAGGTATTGCCCCCATTTTTTCTGTCTCCCTGATTTTGTGTTTGAACATTCATCTGCTTAAGTGCTGCGGCCAATGAAATATTAAGAATTTCANCTAAATCCCCCCCCCCCCCTTTTCTTGGATGATTTTATTTTAAATTGTTATAACTGTTTTTTTTCTCTCGGTCAAATTATTTGGATTTTACTCAGCTTTAGTTTCTCAATCATTTTTTTTCTCTAAAATTTAGGTGTTGTCCTATTGAGCCCTTTAACTATGGGTACTTTTCTAGTTTGCTTTTACAAAAGAAGACATTTTTCCTTGTTGGAAATGGGTTTTATGATTTCTCAGGATTTGTTTTTAATGTAGGGGTTGTATTATCATGTGTTTATGTGCTATTTAAAGGCTTATTTGTAGAGATTATACTCCTTGTGCTCTATTACTTTATCAGCAGGTTCAAAGTCCTTTTTTTTCAATATTTAGAGATAAAATTAGATGCAATTAATGAGTGGTATATGATGATGGCTCAATGTATAAAACAATCCGTTATTAATTTTGGCTGTGTTAATGTTTCCTGTTTAGTGTGAAGAAGATACAATTTCTTGCTGCATTGTCCAGTTAATTTTCAATTCCCTCATTTTTTTTAACACTGTTTGGCTTGAGGAATTAGAAATGAAAAGAAATGCTAAGGAAAGGGAAATAAAATTAAAGAAACCACAAATCTTGATTTACTTTGATTAGTAAGGCAAACTGTAAGGAAATCGGTAAGAAAATTACATTTGAATGACATCTCTTTTTGGTTGTTGAAAAGAAAACAAAGGAAGACCTGATTAAGAGGAGGGGAGAGAGGGAGGGTGGGGTGGGGTGGGGAAAGGGCAGTGGCAACGGGGGTGGGGGTAGGAGGGCAGAGGGGGACGAGGGAGGGCCAGGAGGAGTTTTTTTCTGTTCTTCTCTTTTTCCTCACAAAATTGAACAAAAATCACTTTGTCACTTTCACTTAAAATTTTTACTCAAACACCAAAATTGATTTTCCTTTTCCTTCCAAGTTCCTTGAACCAAACACATTGTAAAGTTCTTGTTATGAAATTTTACTTGTGCTTACTGGAAAGGAGTTAACTTGAGCTCGTGTATCTCTATTATGAAGTACATGATTTTGCATTCATTGTTTTTTTGGGTGGGTTAAAAAAGAGAAAAATATACCGGACCTTGTCGCGAGTCGCGACTTGTTGTTGGTCAAGTCATTTTGTTGTAATATTTATTGAACAAACTTTTTCTCTCTTTAGAATTCATACGCATGGAGAACAAACTTCTTCCTTCACACACACACACATATCCATTTTGTGTATGTTCTGGTAGTCACATGAAAAACATCCACGTAATGCAATAACGTTTTTGTAGGAGCTACCAAGCTTAAGGTTTGTTTTGAACCCGTGGAGTTCCAGAGAAAGAAAATGGCGTCATAGTATTAGATTTACTATTTTTTAAAGCTTCCATTATGGCCGTAGGCGGACGTGATATCGCATTCTCCATTATTTTCTTTATTGCTTTAATTAAAGAAAGTCTTTCACTCTTATCTGCTGTCTATTTTAACCCAAATAGGAATGAGATATCACATGCCTTTAAACTATGTGATTGATTATGTAATTACCATGAATGTAAGTGTGTACTAATTGGCAGTTCGACCCGCATTATGTTATAGGGGGCTTCTAGAGATTCCAATGACAAATTTTTCTAAAGGAGACGCCACGTGGAGGCTCTTTCCTGGATCAGACTGTTTTGATGCTTCAGCCAATATTTCACTTTTTTCAAGCTCTCTTCCTGTTCTCTTCCATAAGAAGCGTATGTGATCCACATGTCATGCAACTTTTCTATGTATCGAGCTCTTCTGTGAAAATGTTTTCTTGGAAAGTGTTTAGCATGGGAAAATCTTTCATTGAGCTTTTCAGAAAATGAATTCTCTTTTTGAAACCGGAGAGCATTTTCCCAAACGGTTTTCTGTTTTTGCGGTTTGAGCATTGTACTCCCCCCTCCACCTCCACCCGGTCCCATAAAGAAGACTTGTGTTTTAGAACTTCTTTTTGTCCCAAAATATAGTCTATACATGGAACAAAGAGTTTGTATCCGGCCAAAGCTGTACCTAGAGCAAACAAGACTTTTGGGTGTAGGGAGTATTATTCATAGAAAACATGTTTTCAAAAACCCATCCCCCCCACACACACACAGAGCCAGGCACACATCAAGTTAATATTTCAATGCAATTAAACAGAACTCAGGTCCCTGATCAAATTTTTCTTTACGGGCCTTAAATGTATGATGCAGTGAACTTGAGTGAAGTGGAACACGGTCTCAAATCTATTGATGACACATCAGTCTTGAAGAAGATTCACCCTGAAGTAGAGGGTGATGACTTGCTTGAAGATTCTATTCGCACTTCAATCAAATGCTTGCTTCCTGATGATGAAGATGAACTTTTATCTGGCATAGTGGGTGGCTATGAACTGAATGGGCTTCCCAATCACAGCGACGACTTGGAAGATTATGATTTGTTTGGCAGTGGAGGAGGGTTGGAACTGGAACCCGATCCTCAGGAAAGTCTAACTATTGGTTTATCAAAACTAAGTCTCTCTGATATTGCTGGAGTGCCTCATAATGGACTTCCTAATGGAAATGGGGCCATCAGTGGGGAGCATCCCCTCGGGGAACATCCTTCAAGAACGCTATTTGTTCGTAATATCAACAGTAATGTCGAGGATTCCGAATTGAGAACTCTCTTTGAGGTGTCTTCTATACTCTAGCTATTGACAACTTCATTTATTTCCTCTCTCAATGATCTTTAAGTTGCATTTTGACAATGTTTTAGCAAAAGAATCATTTTTAACATTGTTTTAACTTCAGGTAAATAATGGACTAAATCAGAATGACATATTAATCTTCCTTTGCTTCTTACTATCTATGAAGTTTTGGGTAGTAAATGCAAAAATGCATCATGGATTTAACGGAAACAACCTCTCTGTTTTTATGGGGTGTACATCTTGACCCCACCCCACCCCCCCAAAAAAAGACCCCTACAAAGTCAGGATTATACTGGGTTTTGTTGCTATTTTGATCTTATAGTGACAATTTTACGCTGTTTCCCTTCCAATGAGATTAAATCACAAAATTTTCATCGTGTTTGTGTCTGCATAGTTATTGCAACATCAGAATCCCTAACCAGATTTTTACTGTTTTGTGCATCGCGCATTCTTGTTCCATAGCAATATGGTGATATCAGAACTATGTACACTGCTTGTAAACATAGGGGTTTCGTGATGATATCTTATTATGATATCCGTGCTGCTCGAACAGCAATGCGGACTTTACAGAATAAGCCTCTGCGGAGAAGAAAACTCGATATTCATTTCTCAATCCCTAAGGTAAACACCATTTCTCTTCTAAGTAGGGGTAAGGTCTGCGTACAGTAAACTCCCTCCCAAGACCCCACTTATGTGGGATTCTATTGGTTATGCACACAGGGTTATGATTTTTAATCTCTCTCTCTCTCTCTCCAGGATAACCCTTCAGAGAAAGATGTTAACCAAGGAACCCTAGTGGTTTTCAATTTGGACCCATCAGTTTCAAATGATCACCTCCATCAAATCTTTGGGTCTTATGGTGAGATCAAAGAGGTATAAAGCTTTGTATAGTTACATTCCTGTTTCATGCTTGTGCTTTAAGAGGTTGATTATCCTATTTATCATTAATTGTGTTTTAAAACAGATAAGGGAGACACCACACAAGCGGCACCACAAGTTCATTGAGTACTATGATGTTAGGGCTGCCGAAGCGGCTCTTAGATCCTTAAATAGGAGTGACATAGCGGGGAAGCGGATCAAACTCGAACCTAGCCGCCCCGGGGGAGCACGCCGAAAGTGTGTATACTATCAATTACTAAATAACAAACTCATCTAAGTATTGCTTAATTTAATTGCTATCACGAATGGTAATTGGAACTTGTGCTTCTTTACTGCTCTTTTTGGTAGGTTTTTAAGTTTGAACTCTGTAACTGGTATTACAGATGTGGAAAAATAATTATGCAAAGTTACATGGGAAATAGTTAGAGCAGGGGCTCTAAGAGAGATCCATGCTATATTTTTACTCTGCTCGTCCCAAAAAACTTTACCTGTTTGACTTTTACGGGGTTTAAGAAAGGTGTTGAAAAGTAAGTGTATTGAAGAATTTGTGACAAATGATGTCATCCACATGTCCATTACTAAAAAAGGAAGTAAAGTTAGTGGAAAGTGTTTTTGGAAACGTCTAAAAAGGTAAAGTTGGTAAAAAAAATCGGGACAAAGGTAGTATTCATTTTCGTTTGGATGAATATGTATTTGTTATGCATTTTGTATTCTAGTTATTCACCACTCATCTGTGTGACATTCTTATGTTCCAAATCCAGTTTTCTGTTAAATCAAGACCCCGAACACGAAGAATCTCGGAGTTTACCTCTTCATTTAGGATCTTCATTCGGTACATCTCCATCAGGTAAGCTTTTAGGCACTCACCCTCCCCAGACACAACTTGTAGGACATTACAACAACAAACCCAGTAGAGTCCCACACAAGATAGGGTCCGAGGAGGGCGAGTGTATGCAGACTTTACCTCTACTTGTGGGACACTATTGGTGTATATTGTATAATAACTCGTATGATGGCTCACAATAATTTTTTATGACAGGTAACTGGCAACACTTTGGCAGCCCTGGGGATCATCATGATCATATGCAAAGTCCTAGCAATCCTAATGGTTTTAGACCCTTGAATTCTACATCTGGAAATAACTTGCCCGGATTAGCTTCCATTTTGTCTCCTCAAACATTGAACTCTGGTAGGATTGCACCTATTGGTAAGTGTGAAAGAACCAGTTCTTCCATCCAACAACAACCTCATTCTTTTCCAGAGCCAAAACCGAATTGGTATTCCGGACCGATCTCTTCATACGGTGCTTCTAGTTCAAATGGTTCGGGTATCGAAACGCTCTCCGGGACCCAATTTCTTTGGGGAAGTCCGAAGGTCTATCCGGACCAAAGTAACAATAGTTCTACTTGGCATCCTTTCGCATCGAACGGCCGCGGGTTTGCGTTTCCCGCACAACACCGCCTCCGGGACCTTCATAATGTGGGGTCCGCTCCATCGGGTCTTCCTTTCGAGAGACACTTGGGTTTCTTCCCGGAGTCGTTACCGGAAGCCTCTTACTTGGGTCCCGCTTTCCGAGGCACTAACACTGGATCCTACGAGAGGAGTCATATGATGAATGCGAATATGCCGGCCGATAGTGGGCCCCCCGGATTCAACATGTTGACTTCTCAAAGGTTGAGCTCCGTGTTCTTGGGAAACGGTCATGTACCAGGACCCACAGCTGCTGTGTTTGAAGGTTTAGCTGAACATGCGCATGCCAGGCGGGTAGAGGTTTATGGGAACCAGGTTGATAATAGAAAGTTTCAGCTTGACTTGGACAAGATTAGAAATGGGGATGATACTCGGACAACGTTAATGATAAAGAACATCCCAAACAAGTAATGACAAAACATCATTTCCAGTTCTTATTACTCCCTCCGTCCCAAAATAAACAACACTTTCTTTTTTAGCTAGTCCCAAACTAAAAGTCCGTTTTGTCTTTTGGCAAGGAATATGTGGCCATCATTATTTCTCACTATTTCAAATCAACTTTGTATCCGGTCAAAAGGGTCTTTTAATTTTGGGAGGGAGTATGATTTAGGAGACATATTATTCAGCCTTATTAATAACAATTGGGAACCTTACATGGTTAATAATCATCTTCCTTTAGGTACACGTCGAAGATGCTGTTGGCTACCATCGACGAACGTCATAGGGGAACCTATGACTTCCTGTATTTGCCCATTGATTTTAAGGTGAATTCTTGATGGGTGATTGTGAAGATATTTGTCACGGAATACGTTTTTATGTAGCCTAAGTCAAGTCTGATAAGTATTCTTTCTTGTGATGCAGAATAAGTGCAACGTGGGCTATGCATTTATTAATATGTTGTCTCCCTTGCTCATCATACCATTTTATGAGGTTCAATTCTTTAACTATGGCATTTTTTGTGTAATCCTCCCACGGGCAAGAATCTTTTGACACTGGTCCTCGGTTTCATATTATGACACCAGGGGCCCTACGGTGCTCCGTTGGGGCGGGATCATATTCTACTCCCCCCCCCCCACCATTCTGTCAAAATGCTTCACTGGTATGATAGCATTTTGGTGAAATGCTAAGGGGAGGGGGTTTGGGGGTAGTACCTGGGCCCACTGGAGGATCCTAGGGCTCCAGTGTCATATTATGACACCCAAAATTGGTGTCAAAAGAACTGTGGGGTTCTCCCTTTTATTTCTTCATATAACATGATTGACTTTCTTCATTTGCTACCAAATAGGCATTAAAGATTTCTTCACTTCTTTTTATTAATTCCATCCGCAACGACATTGTCTTATAATTTGAATTATATAATGGTACATAACTTTTAATTCGTTCAGGCATTTAATGGGAAAAAGTGGGAGAAGTTCAATAGTGAGAAAATGGCTTCTTTGGCATATGCTCGAATCCAGGGAAAGAGTGCCCTCGTCTCTCACTTTCAGAACTCAAGCCTGATGAATGAAGATAAGCGGTGCAGGCCAATAGTATTCCATTCAGAAAGTCCAGATTCTAGTTGTCAGGCATGAATTACTCTACCCCTTGTCCCTCAAAGAGACCCGAGAGAGTTTTTGTTCGCCCACATATTCCTTTTCCTTTAAAACTCAAAGACTATTTTACCCTTACTTCTGCACTATTTTCATGTTTTACATCTCCCTCTGACTTACCACACCACCAAGGGCAAAAAAAGGAAAGTCAAATATTTTTTCATCTTACGCTAAAAAGTGTGCCAGTCAAAACGAGAAGAATATGTGGGACCCAGGGAGTACTAAAATCAGTTAGCATGGCTAACGAGAGACCTCGTTGTGCAGATTGTCCAGGAACTTCTACTATCCAGTGGTCTGAACATCCAAACACATCAATCAAATGTGTTGGAGTCATTTTCAAGCACCCCACCAGAGTGATTTTCAGCAGCCCGAAAGCATTTCGTTGTGTCAATCCAAGCAAAGTGGATGCTGTTTGGTTACCCGTAGTACGTTTTCGCTCTTTTTTTTGTGAAAAAAAGCTCTAACGACAGGTTCTTGTTTAGCAGTTTTTTGTATAATAGTAATGGCTGGTTTGACAATCATCCTTTTGGCTCCTGCAAACCGGCAAAGAAGTGGCGCTAACTTATCTACGTTTTGGAAATTTTTGCAAACTGAGATTCGTCTGTTCGTCTCAGCTGTGGTTTTAGGTGAAGGGTATTTTTTTTGGTTAATTTTATTTCTTTTCATGAGAACGAAATAACTATGAATGGTACGTGTATTTTGCCAAAAGTGTGTAAATTTGGCATTTTTACCCGCGGATGCGGTGTACAAAGTTTTTCTAACTCGCGGGCTCAGGGAAAGCCCCCACTACGGTCGTGTAAAGTAGACAAACTTTACCCGCTTTGGGTTACCATTATAAGAAGTAATACGAGTACTTTAGATATAGTAAATACTCCGTACATATTTTGGTTTGCTTTTATGAAATATATTGTGCTTACTAAAATTGTGATATGCTCCCGTATGTATGTTTGTGTAATTAAACCTAAGCCTGGGGCGTGGTTCAATTTGTCGAGAGGGTAGTGCCATAAGGGTTAACTCGGGTTCCAATCCCGAGAACTGCAAAAAAGGTGATCGTGTTAAGCATGAAGTTGTTGCCTATTGACTAATGCCAGGCAAATCAGTACTATGCTCAGGTCTTAGACCTTGTGTAGTTATGGAACCCGAAAGAAGTGTTTTCGCCATGTGGCAGCCACCTCAAAAAAATCACACTTTGATATTTTTCTTCGTACAAATATAATTATTAGCTTTCAAAGTAAAAAACTATTATATAATCTAATTTGAGAGGTATGAATACCCAATTTAAGATGTACAAATATTTTACCTCTACTCTTAGGTGTATATAAATGTTTCTGCTAAGGAACCCTAATAAGAAGTGAAAGGTGGCATGAGCACTATAAATGTTAGATTATGCATTTCTCATAGTATAAGAAAGAAACCAACTTCACATACACAATCTGACATGACCAAATCCAAAAGGGGCATATATACACACCACTCATTACACCATTTTTCTTCATCATGATGACATTCAAGGAGAACCTTAACATGAATCAATCACCCCAAGTGTAAGAATTATCAAATCGAAGAAGAAGAAGAAGAAGAAGAAGAAAACGGTATATTGAAAATATGCACCGTGTTAAAAATTGGAAGCCAAAAAAAAAGTGTCGCGGGAGAATCACGCCGTGCTGCTTGTGTCCATACTTGATGCCCTTAAACTTGGCTTTTGCGTCCGGAAATTGATGTCAACTACAAAGTAGCACTTGTGTGGTTCTCTGATGTAGCGAACGTGGCCATTCATCATCCTTACCAGTTTCATTGACAAATGCAAAGCCATCCCTTCTTGCGTTGCCAACCTGCTACTTCCTCTTGACATGTCCTCAACAAGAGCCGCCGGAAGGCCTTGCCCGGGATGAATCATTCTAATTAAACGAGGAGACACGCTGTGAGAATCCAACCAGTTTCGATGAATTGTTAATATATTAAAAAAATGGAAAAAATTCATGTCAAGAGGATGACAGTCACATTCTTACCTGATGGATATCCAAACTATCCGACCCGATTAAATGGTCAAAAACCCAAACAAGTATGATGATACTCGGGTGATGGATGGAAAGAAATACATGTGGGTGTTTAACTCACCCGTCACCCGATCCACCAACCCTTCTGCTTTTTTTCGTCAAGTTTTTAATCTTATACCAATACACTACTCTGTAAAGTAAATTATGGGTTCCTGCGTTACAACGTAAGGATAGATATTTTAATGTACGAAGCACTATTATCATATAAAAAAATTCCCTCCGTTCTCAAAAACACTTCCTCTTTCATTTTTCCACTTCCAACAAAACGCTTCCACTTTCTATTTAAAAACCCCTTTTACCCCTACTTTTTCTTACCCTACGTATCACAACATTATACTTTTTGTCTAATAATCTATCTATCACATCTTACTTCTACCCATCACATCAAGGGTAAAATTGGAAGTCAACTACAAATTAACACTTCCTTATTTTACCACTTGGTAAAAAGTGGAACTCTTTTCAAGAACGGAGAGAGTAGATATTTTATTATTATTATTATTATTATTATTATTATTATTATTATCTTTTTTTGTGATAATTTAATGAAATGTTAATTTCACTCGGGAATAACAGATAGATCGGGTGATGGATGATGTTTGTAACACATGATGGATGAATCATGTTACAGATGAAGAGTGGATAAATGAATGACGGTAAAGTTTTACTGGATCCAAACCCGACCCATTTGCGTTCCTACGTATAACTCGACCACCCAAACCCCCAATGAAGTTGTGATTATATTGGGTTGTTGAAAAATTCATGCCAATACTCCCATAAATGTGACATTTTACAGGAATACTCCAAGCTTACATAACTATCACCAACGTTCTAAAAAATTAAATATTTTCACAATAATACTCCATGAAATTGATTTAACATTGATCCCCCATTTTTTCACGAGTATATGCGATCAATTTGTAATCTTGAAGTATTTGTGTAAAAATATTTAAATCTTGGGAACACTTGTCACGATCACGCAATCTTAGAGTGTACATGTAAAACCTCAAATTCCTTGGAGTATTGACATGAACTTTTTAAAAAAATATATTGTAGAGGTTACCTGAACTGGACACAGATGAATGCATTCCCATCTTGCATCAGCTTCAAGCCAGGGACCACCCGGATTTCCACCCAACCATCCAAAGAAGGTGAGTGATTCACTACACTGAGCAAGAAATCCGAGAGAACGAGCTGAAGCTTAATTTGATCTCCGTATAGGGTGAGGGATCTGATCCGGTCAGGGACATCATGAAGTAACTTTAAATTCTTCTCCTCCAGTGGAATCATAGCTTGGGTAACCACTGCATCGATAACGTTCCCTAAAACAAATTCTTCTGTCTTCAGCTCCACTTTCCTGCCACAACCATGAGAAGAAAGTGATAGACATTATTAGAAAATCTAATTGTGGCGGCGAGTTTGGCAACTAGAATGGTGAGGTGAAACNCACAAAAAATGATTGAGGGAGCTTTTGATTTTATAACAAAGGAGTTTAAAAATTGTAACTCCTTCACCATTAACCCATGGAATTAATCATGGCATTTGTGGTGTGTTAATGGTGATTAATTAGCCATTAACACGTCCGTTACGCTACGCTCCGTTTAAAATTTGTCCCGAATAATTGGAGATTAATGGCCAGTTAACTCCGTAAAAATGGACTAATTTTAAACAATACGTAAAATTAATAAAAGAAGATTGGTTCAGTAAAATTGCAAAAATTGCAATCCTCACCATATTCTTTTATTAACGGGTTAACTCTGAGAATCAATTTCTCATCACCCTCTACCATTTTTTGCGTATAAATTGTCAAACATTTATCTCATTTAAGAGAACACACGTCCATTAATAAACGGTTAAAACCGTTAGTGGACCTATTGACAAATATACCCAAATTGGTCCATTTAACGCCAATTAAAATGCCAAAAATTCCAACAGGTTGTTGGCACATCAAAATCGGACCGAAGACCGAATTGAATAAAATCAAAAACCGGACCTACATCTTTACGGGTTTGGACTGGACTGAAATACTTAGGACCGAACTGGTCCGGACAGATTGGACCAAATAAAAATATATATATTTTAATTATTTTCATAAATTAAATATATTTTAGGCTTTTTGCAAATAGAAAAAAAAATAAAAAGATTAGCAAGCTAAAAATAAATACACAACATGGATTATTTCTAGGTAGAATCATAAAAACTAATGTGAAAGATTTTTTAATTTTTTTTAAAAATTACTTAATAAAAAACTATTTTAATTAAATAAATTAAGATATCTATTAAAATACAACATCAAAGTGTAATATAGAACTTAAAAAGCAAAGTTTTAGTATTTAGGTCTTTTAGGTCCAATAGGGTTATTAGGTCCAGTCAGTCTAATCGGTCTGAACCTAAAATATTTCGAGTTTGGACCAGACCAGACCAAAACCCGAATACCTAAATTCTTTGGACCGAAGACTGATCTGAAATCCATTCGGTCCGGATTTGGTCTGGACAACATGAACAACCCTAAAAGTCTTGGTCTCATTGACATTGCAGTACTTTTTCCATACAAAAATATATTAGTATAGTTTGAATTTTTGGTCAAACTATATAATACTTTGATCATAGATTATTAAAAAAACATATTTAGTTATAATAACATTTAATTATTTAAAATTAAATTTAATTTATAACAAAAATGTAGCACAATTTGAGCAAAAAGTTAAATTGTACTATTTTTTTTAGACGGTGTTAATAGTTAGACAGATGAAGTTGTTTTTAGCACATCGTACTTGTTTGCGTAAGGTATAGGGTTGGCAAACACCTCAACATAGAGGCTTATTATATGTGTGGTCTCTATTCAAGGAAGTAGATTTTACTTCGAAGGAAGTTAAATGATCCAAGCTTGCATTTTATGCATTAAAATAGAGGAATGTAAACTAATGTGGTGAATTTAGAGTGCTTGTAATTAGAAATGTAATTTGAATTTGGTGCTAATAATGTTATTGTTTTATAAGTCTTTATAGTACATGATTATACTTTACCTCTCAATACCTCTTATATAGACCTAATGAGAGATAATCGTGTTGAATACAATGTATATGAACACTGGCATGCAAACATGGAATTCATATAAACATTAACTATTTGTGAATGTGCAGATCGAGCATACACTTGAAAGATATTAATGTAACAACAAAATATGTATTAAAATTGGTGAACTTAACGGTCAATATCGAGATATTACACTACATTAGATATAAACGAGGTTTGACTTGAGTCTAAACCAAACGGCAATCAAGAATACTATCAACACATATAAAATTTTGTTGGTGTCGTGTATTTCTTATGCTTAGATATACGTAGTAAGTATGTAACCTTTACATTTATTTAAAAATAAAAAAACATCTTGTCATTGGGTGTAATGTACAACTTGAATGGATACACATAGAAAAGAAAATTTGAAAATAAAGATTTCATAAGATGCAATGTATGCAATTCACACAACATTTGATGAAATTCGGGTAGAAAATTACTACTTAACTCCAAGAATGACACCAAAATTGACATGACAGAGTCATTGTTTTTGTTTGTGAGACAATAGCGGTGTCAACTTTGATGTCATTCGTGGTGTGATTGTAGCATGAGTCTTTTGTAAATACGGCTATCTTCTGGTTGTTGCGCGACTTAAGGCTGCAATGTACGCCGCTTGAGTAACGGTTAGGATGATCAAGAAAGCTTCCATTGTTCTCTGTGTTTTTTGGTGTCACATTTAACAAAGTTGTCTCAGTAATGCACAAAATCCATTGGTATATGTATTTGGCATTGCTTGTTAAACAAAACTAACTCAGTTGACTGTAAATGTTATATAGAACTCATGGAAATGGTAAATTTTTTTTGTTGAAGTGGTTGAAATGAATATAACGATTGTGATAACTTCGTAAATAAAAATGACATTTAATCATTATCCTATGGTAAATAATTCAATGCTCTCACCAGTTTGGCATTCCTATTTTGGAGTTCAATCTCTTTCCATGCAAATCTGCAAAATTGTGAATCATCATAATATGATAATACTTTAAGATTAGGTGTAACAAATGCCTATATCCATTGTATAGTAGAGAGAACTAATGTGTTTTTGGAAACAGTTTCAACATTTAACTTTAACATATTGAAAATACTAGTTAACCATAGTGTTTTCCATATTAATCTACATTATTAAAAAGTTATCCCAGACGCTAACGCTAATCAAAGACAATATTCCTAAACAAAGCCTTAATGGGATTGGAAGAATACCCCATGGCAAGAGCAGTGAGACTCCAGGCAACAGTAGCCGCTGAAACAGCAGATGGCATAGCACTTGAACCATCACTGTTCCAATGCCGGATATGGTCAATGCCGACTATGAGAGACGCGACCCCAAACACGCTGGCGATAAGAGAAAACACGACGAAGAATCCCGTGGCTGCATTCCCCATTGAATAACATATCGGAGAGAATTGCTCAGGCAGATCGAATCCTGAGCCTGCGAATGAACATTAAGAAAAAAACTAGAAGTACGAAAACTCCTTCGTTTACAAGAAAAAAAATCTATCTAAATAAGACTAAAATATGAAATTTACATCAACAAGACTCACGTGAGATCATATTGTCAAGAACCAAACATATTAAACTAAAAGTTGATGAAGCCATACCAATAAAGAACCCTTCATTGATGGCTTTGTTAGTAGCCCAGCCTCCAATGGCCAAGACTATAGAATACATACAGAAATTTAGCGACAAAAATGTCGTCGCAACAGCTTTCGTCATCCTCCCGATTTTTACCAATCAGTGAAGAATGGCAAGATTTTTTTTGTGTTTACAGAACAAATTAAAAATGTCTTTGGTATGAGTCCAAAGGCTATGTGGTTTTCATGTATTTATAATGGGATCAGAGGCAAGTGATGGAGGGGTTTTTTTGTTCGTTTCTTGTGTTTTAGTGTCAAGTTTTGTGGGGATTTGGGAAATGGCTTTTGCTTCCTCGTTGCAATGGCATTGGATTCTTATTTGCCAGCACACCCATTTCTGTCAAGTCTCTCAAAGCCACATTCTTTCTTCCATTGGAAATGGAGACGTATAGATTTGGAAGGCAGATCTCATCATTCTATGAGCAGGTTCACAAACAGAATGGTCACAAACTTCACGAACTTATCAGTTATGGTTTAAATTTTTATCTTGAAATTATTTAACACTATTTAATTTTTTATTGAAGTTTACACATAGTAAATTTGTGAATTTTGTGATCATTTTGTTTGTAAATCTAGCATTTCTCTAGATTTTGTATTAGAAATTGATGATTCACACTAATTCAAAATGTCAGTATACATTTTTTGTTTATTGAAAACTAATTTGAAAAAACACTAAAATTTATGATAGTTTATTAAAAGCTATGGTCTGGCTTCCAAATGATTTTAAAATTATGCGTATCTTCCCGGCCGTTACTAAAAAACTCAAATTTCTACCCATACCCTTCGCCATTCCTAGCTTCTCAAGGTCTCTAGCCGCCGATGGAAACCGCTCAAATCCGATAATGGATCATCCCAACTGCTACTCCGTCCTGGCCGATCATCTCCGGAACAGAAGAATTGATGAAGCCCGCGCGCTTTTCTCCAGAATCCGGCTCCCCGGCGTTTATCTCTGCACCAAAATGATCGCCGGGTATGCCGAAAATGGGAGGCTGAAGGATGCACTGGACCTGTTCGACGAAATGCCCGTGAAAGATGTTGTCATGTGGAACTCCATGATCAAAGGGTGCGTGGGTTGTGGGGATGTGGAGATGGCAATGGAGCTGCTCGATGAAATGCCCGAGAGAAATGTGGTTTCTTACACCACTGTGATCACTGGGTTCTTGAAGTTTGGGATGGTCGAGGAGGCAGGAGCCCTGTTCCGCGAGATGCCATCAAGGGACATAACCGCCTGGAACGCGATGGTTTCTGGGTATTTTGAGAATGACAGGGTGGAGGAAGCACTAAGGTTGTTTGAGATGATGCCACATAGGAATGTTGTTTCTTGGACCACGGTGATCTGTGGGCTTGACCGGCACGAAAGGAGCCACGAGGCATTGATGAGTTTCGCGAAGATGTTGGGTTTTGGAGTAAAACCCAACTCAAACACTTTCGCGTCCGTTCTAACCGCTTGCGCGACCACAAAGGACCTTGTTTTAGGGTGTGGGATTCACGCCGCGTCCACAAAGGCTGGTTTGAGATTCGATGTATATGTCACTGCTTCACTCATCACATTTTACGCCACTTGTTTGAAAATCGACGATTCTTGCAGGGTTTTTCAGGAGAAGATCCACAAGAATGTGGTGGTGTGGACATCTCTAGTAACCGCCTACACCCTAAATCATATGCATAAAAATGCCCTCTCTCTTTTCGCGCGCATGCTCCAAAACTGCATTCCCCCCAACCAATCATCCTTCACCAGTGCATTGAACTCGACCTGCGAAGAACAGTCGGTTGACCATGGGAAAGAGATCCACTGCCTCGCGTTCAAACTAGGGTTCAACGCGGATGCCTATGTGGGTAACTCCCTAGTTGTCTTGTACTCCAAATGTGGGGACATGAGCGATGGTCTTCTCATGTTTGACGAAATAAAACACAAGAACATCGTCTCGTGGAACTCAATCATAGTCGGGTGCGCGCAACACGGTCTAGGAAACCACGCGCTCGGATTGTTTGCCCAAATGGTGCGCAGAGATGTTGTCACCGATGACATCACGCTCGCGGGTTTGCTCGCAGCTTGCAGCCACTCTGGCATGTTTGGGAAAGCAAGGGCGATATTCGGCTACTTTTCCATGTCCATGGAGATCATCAAGATGGAGCATTATGCATGTATGGTGGATATCTTATGTCGCGATGGGAGATTGGATGAAGCAGAGAATCTAGTGAATGGCATGCCCGTGGAACCGAATCTTTCAGTATGGGTAGTTCTGCTGAGTGGCTGCGCGAAACATTGTGACGTGGAATTCGCCGAAAGAGCTGCTAAAAAGGTATTTCAGCTTGATCCAAACTGTAGTGCAGCTTATGTTATGTTGTCAAATATGTATGCTGCAATTGGGAGGTGGGATGATGTTGAGAGGATTAGAGTGGAAATGAAGAGGAAAAGGAACATAGTAAAACAACCTGGATTCAGTTGGGTGAACGTTAGAGGGCCGTTTGGAACTCCGGAAATGTTAGAGAGAAAAAATTGATGTATTGTCAAATATATTTGGTTCACGCGGTTCCGCCCGAGAGCCCCCTCAGACCTGACCGGACAGTTACTGATAGTAGATAAATTGAACTTCGATCGCAGATTGGTGACAACTGGCAAAGAGTGGAGGCTCGTCTGGTAAATTCTTTGTGACTTTGTTTAGTTAATGTATGTCTTGTAATCTGTGTAATTGTATATATTCTTTAATACCTCATTTTTTGGGGTATATGAATTGTGTTTAAATCTTGTGAGATATTAAACAGAAAAACATACTTCAATAATTGTTGAATTTTTCTCCAACCTTAATGTTATATAATGGGGTGTCAAATTATGAGCCTTGGTTACCAATAGACCTGTGCAAACAAGGGTCGGCCCGTTCGGCCCGCCTAGCTTGCCCTTTAAAAATGGCGGATATGGACAATCTTTAATATCCAAATGGACAGGCCAGCCCAAGCTTGAATTATATATGGCCGGATCTGGAAGTTACTTTTAGCCCATCTGGGCCAACAGGCCCGTCATATTCATCAAATATATTTACTTTATTATTAATTACCTAGCCAATATAAATTTTAAAATTTTCTATAATTCATGTATAATAGTTTAATTCACTCACCTCTTTTAAACAAAAATCGATATTCTTTTTAATGAATCTGTATGATGGGTTTATTAATTATGCAATAATATCTCTATTATACTTTCTTTATAAATGTGGTGACTAGTTATTTTATTTTAAACATTAAAAAAGAGCTCAATGTTTTTTTTAAATTTTTTGTACAAAAAAAATTTCTTGATATTTATCCGGGCCGGGCGGCCCAGTGACAATCCGGCCCGCAAAGATGGGCAGGTATGGGTAAAGAATTTAGCCCATCAGTAAAAAAATGTTTTAATCAAAATGAGTTGAATAGTAATTAAAAAAGTTAAAATTTGCACAAAACAACCCAACATTTTCTACGGTAGTTAATTTTTTTATGGAAAAATTATCTTAACTAATCCCATCTTTTCACTCTTTTCAAAAAATAAACATATTTTTCATTGTCACGATAAATAATTCCATCTTTTGGCATATGTGTGAGTTTTGGGTTGTCGTTAAAAAGTTAACGGTCACTTAACGGAATTTTTGGAAAGTGCCCGTTTTTTTGCAAATAAACAAAAGATGAGATTATTTGAGGTGAATTCACTTTTTTTGCTTTTTAATTACAAATTTTAACTTTATGTTTTCAAAAATATAACAGTGCCCTCTTATTAGAAATTTGTCTCAATTTTTTTAATATAACGATTCACATTTTTTGTATTCTGTTTTGAGAGAAATATAATAGTTTCACTTGAGAAAGAAACTGTAATACAAAAAAATTATAGTGAACTATAAAAATATTTAGAGTCATTTTGGAAAACAAATAATTGTGTCATTTTTACAACTTTTGAATAGTTATTTTGCAGGAAAAACTGTAGTGGATTGTCTTAAAAAATTACAAGTTTTATAGTGCCATTTTGTAAAAAAAATAATACGGGTAATAGATGATTTATAAATAAAAGAGTTTTCAGAAATGAGATAATAAGAAAAAAATCCACAAAATTAAAAAATGTTGTGGGCTCCACCAAAAAAGAACTCAAATGCAACGGAATGAGCAAAATAACTGCCGAAGCAAGAAGCGGGTAATGCCGTTACTTCGGCACGCGCCTGAGAACGCATTCATATACTCATTTCTTTAGCGCCATTTCTTCATCTCTTCAGACCAACCGAAACAATTCTCTCTCCTCCATAGCTCTCCCGCGATTTCTTCAAGAATTATACGCAGTACGGCCTCTCCTTCTCTCCAATTCATCAGCTCCTCGTGCAGATTTCACTGTTTCTCGACGATTTCTTTTTCACTCTCATGGATTCACTTTTTTCCTCAATTCTCAGGTGTCAAATTAATGGCGGACGCGAGGACAGACACTGGTGGGAGCTCCGCCGGAAAAGGCATAGGAGATCTCTGGAATAAACTCTTCGGCTGGGTGATGAAGATGAAAAGCGACGAACAGAGTGGAATTTCCCAGCAACACCTTCCAATCGGAACCAATCGCTTGCCTGGAGGTATTTCATCTTCTGACTCTTCGATTCTGGTGAATCAACTCATGCGCACATTGAATTCGAAGTTTAATTGTGTGAAATTGTGGGCAGAGAGAGCTCTGCGTGAGTGGATGTCCAATGATTCGTCCGGAGAGGAATCCGAACCAGAGGTTGTCCGATCCGAACCATTGATTAAGCCCGGACAGGTGAGGGAGCTGATGCTGGAAAGGTTGGGGTTAGGTTCAAATGGATCTGGAACTGATTCCGATGGTGCGGGCCACGGTGTTCTTGAAGATTTCGGGATTGTGACGAACATTGAAGGGTTTCAAGAACGACTTCAGGAGATCGTTCGCGAAGAAAGTTGTGCAGCTGATTCACTTGAGGGAGTTGCAGAGATGTTCCAGGAAGGTGATGCGGAAGAAGAAAGCTTGGACTCCAATCGATCTGAATCTGAATCAGGTAAGAATTAGACAATTCAGAAGTAAAATTGCTCTGTGTAATTTACTAACTGGTTCTACTCCAAAATTTTTGTGTAACTTTGTAAATTGTACTCTAATATACAGTATATACTAAAGCGAGCTCGGAGACTGAGTGCAATTTGGGTTGGAACCGAACCCAATTGTAGAACTCAGAAACAGTTTGGCCACAATAGTTATGGATGAGCAAATACCAAAACCGATACGGAAAAAGTCTATTACAAAAACCCCCCAAAGAACCCGTACCGAAAGCAAAAAGTATCAAACCTTACTGTCTCTATTTTGCAAGAGCTTGGATATTAATAATGTGAAAATTGTAAAGGAGAATGGTGTTAATTTGCTTGCCATTTGACGATAAGGTCTGTTTAGGCATTGGAAGTTTTTGCATTGGTAACAAATAACAAGCTCATGTGTGTTCTTTGCCAACTTCAAAACATCATGATTAGCTTATTCTTCTTGATTGACATGTAAAGGAACCAATGTGTTTTCATGTTGCTTTTCTTTTGTGATTCCATAATCTTTTGGTTTTCTATGTACTGCTTCTTAAGATAAGTTGACATTTTATACATTTTGACTTTGCAGCTGGAATGGAGTGGGCTTCACGCGTGTTCTCGGCGGCTGGGCATGCCTTGATCTGGGTTCTAGGCAAGGTCTGTTGGTGTGCGGACGTTCTGCTGCAGCACTATAACGCCCATGGTTTCTAAAGTTCTTCAAAGCTCTGGACTTGCATTTTTCTTGGACTGGTGAGTTGAAAGTTGGCAATGTAAACAGTTACATTTCAGTGATTTCATTTGCAGTTCTAGGATAATTCTTTGCTGGGTATATACATTTGTTGGGTTTATAGATTTATTGTTGGCAATAGACAATGTAGTAAGCTTGGTCGCTTGAAAACAGGTCTTTTCGTAGCTGGATTTTTACATTGCTGCAATTCGAATATTTTGCGTACACATAAATCAATTTAATCTAACTGTTATGTAATAGATAATTATAGAAATGACACTAAAAATATGATCATTAGCATCAAATATTACAAAACGGTAAATTATTTCAGTATCTATCAAATTATTTTTTACTAATGTCTAGTTTTCCTGGATGTAATAAATCATTTTGCTCGGCTAGACCTTTCAAAATGTGTATACTGTATTCAAGTACTATTTGCTTAAATTACCCTAAAAACCTCTGAACGAAATATATGTGAAACTTTTAGGAAAAGGATTTGATCATTCAATTTTGAAGTGTGATTCATATTCCTAAATATTTGAAAACAACTACGGAGTACATTCTACCTATCCGTTTGCGTTTTCAAATCAAATAAAACCAATTTAACAATTATCTACTCTAAATATGCATTTATATTTTTATCATGAGAATTCCAAAACAAAAAATTAACCAGAAATATCAAATTTATCACTTTTATCATTGAACTTGACAACAGAGGAAATATCATACAATTATGATCACAAAAATCCGAACAAAACGAATATATTCGCTGATAGCCGCCTTTATCAATTAAAAACATGGTGCGTCAGCCGTGATCGTCTCCACATAGCTCCCCATTCCAAAAGATCTCTGAACCTTCAATTTAATCAGAACTATCCAATGTAAACAATTCTATATAAGAAAATAGTTTGAATGTATATATTTTGCATTATAGAAATGAATGTAAACGGTGTTATAGTAACAGAGAGCTAATCGTAAATGAAGCAAACTGTGTCGCAAAGACCCGTTTCTGTTTCCAGTTCATATCTGCCATAAAAACGAGACATCCGGCAACCCAAATCATACCGGGCATCAGATACCACAGGCAATCCACAAATTTACATAAAAATTGAATTCAAATCTGTTCTGTAAAAGAGAAAACTTGAAGCTCTAACCGCAATCTCAGCCGAAAGATGGTGAATATTTTGAATTCAACAGCGTATTTCAGTCATACTGGGAAAATTTTCATCCTTGATTGCGATTTTTAATCTCATGAAATTGAATGAAGCAGAAATTGAAACACGAAAGAGATAAGAGGAAGATGCGAAGGAGATCAGATGGTGATGCATGTTTAGAAATCATCATCCAAAAGCTGCAGATAGGTTGGGTATAAATCATCACGCCTCTTCGCAGAAATTAACAATCATAAAAATTGAGAGAAATTCATTCATGGATCAGACATTGAAAGTCAATCACCATGTTGCCATCTCTATTTCGAGTGCAACTAAGACTGGGGCGACACTAACTGTCATCACTTCAATTGGAAACACGAATAAAAAAAACTTTGTATAATCATAAAATAGATAGAAATTGATCCGTGGATCCAGAGTAAAGGGAATCAGAAATTGAAGTCAATCACCATGTTACGATCTCGATTCCGAGTGCAACTAAGACTGGGGCGACATCACTGACATCAGTTCCCTTGAATACACAAAAAACAAAAAAAAAACCAGAATGGAGGAATTGAAATGGATTTTCAGCGATCTGCGCGGTGTTAAAATTGGAGAAGAAGACGATGGTGGTGTGTGGGGAGGAAGAAGGATTTATATAGGATTGGGAAGAGCGTTAGAGATAGGGTTTTGGGAGAAGCGGGAATGGGCTTTGGGCAGGCCGCCGCCGCCGTGGAACCCCATGGAAAGAATGGATTTTAGGTTTACCATTATGCCTCTCATCCTCTCGGCCCACTGGTTCCTTCCATGTAAAATACGGAGTATGTTTAAAATAAAATTATACTCCGTAACTTAATACTCATATTTTCTCTAGAGTAAATTACATAAAAGATTCTCAGTTATAAGTCGTTTTACATATTTAGTCTCTACATATCAAATATTACTAATTTAGTCCCCAATTATTACATTCATTTCCACGAATGGTCCTTTGTTAACATTTCCGTTAAGAACGTGGATAAAATTGTAAATTTACACTCCTCTCTCTCCCCAATTAAGCTTCCTCTCTCCCATCGCACTCCTTTCTCAAATCCGTAGCTGAGTTTGAAGCTTTGAACCCAAAACCAAAATCATCACTCTTCTCTCAATTGTTTGTTTAACTGGTGGAACCCAAATTCGAAACCAATAACCTTCATGGATGAGTTTTAAAGTTTATTTTCTTTGCAATTTCTTGAGACTAATCAATAAAACTCATCTATAAAACTTATTACTTTTGATTTTAGGTTCCATCAGGAAGACTAATAATTGAGAGAGGAATGATCATTTCAGTTTTAGGTTTAAAGCTTCAAACTCAGCGACGAGTTTGTGAAAGAGTACGAGAGGAGGAAGGAAGCTTAATTGAGGAGAGAGAAGTATAAATATACAATTTTATCCATTTTCTTAACAAAAACGTTAACAAAGTAGAGAGTAATAAACAATACATGCCATATTTTCTATGTTGGCTATTGTTATTACTTACTCACAAATTAAACTTTTTTTTCTTTTTTTATTTATTTTTGTTAATTATTTGTTATTACTACAGTATAACATAGTGATGTCACATTTTATTTTATAAAACATTTGATATAATTCTATAATATATATTCTAAAAATTAATTTATACCACTTTAAATAAATTAAATTAAGAATAAACTCAGCCAAACATCATTATTCGTAATAAGTCAATAAATTTAAGGCCGTGGGAATGCGTGTGTGTGTCTCTTCACCTGATTTTATTGGTTCTCATCTGATTGAAATAAATTTTGATCTAAACGTAGTTATATTTAAAATTATTTCTAATCTGATCTAATTCTAATAAGAATAAGTTGAGAGAACATGATCTTAATGTGCAATTAGCAACCATAAAAATGTCTATTTAATTAAATATATTTATGCAGTAATTGTCTTCTTTCTTGCTAGAAGTATGCGCATGGATTTATATAATACAGAGTAATAAAATTGTTGATTTTCTTATAATTGTATTATTAACGCTTTTCCAATTGGGTTGTTGTTGTTAACAGATCGGCCTTGCGGCCCGTGGGATATGGGACCGACAGAGTAAATGAAAAGAAAGAAAAGACAATTATAATGGGAAGCATATGAAAGAAGAAGTCAAAGAGCAAGAGAAAAGATTGAAATAGAGCAATGTGAAGAACACTGAATAACATGTTTACAAGTGACTAATAGACAAAACTAGTAGCACGCCGCAACCTCCAATAGACAGACCTTAGTAGGGCTACAAACGTGCACGCAACTGAGAAGGGAGCAACGAAACTCACACGAGTTAGGCAAGGAGGGGGTGACGACACCAACCCACTCGTTGTCCACCAACTCGCAATGCCCGTTCGGCTTTAGGATGGTGTGGAACTGGAGTTTCTCCATCTGCTTGGCCAACTTCTCCATGAAACCAATGTCGAAGACCATGTTCAATTCGTCCTCTGTGTCATTCGCGTCCTCTGTGTCATTCGCGTCTTTGAACTGTATTCCCACGTTTGCTTTGCATGAGTCGGTGAAACCAAGTAGCATCTGCTGGTTTTTGTATCCGTGATTGGGAGAACATATCTGAAATGCAATTTCAATGGTTGAGAGTAGAAAAATCTGATTCTTTCTTCTACGAAAGGGTAATATTGTCAAATGGCATTCCCTTGCCTGAACATTTCCCCAAAAAAGTCACATACTTGGATAAAACTAGAATACATTCGAATAAGGGTCTGTTTTGAAAGATGGAAAATGAGTCCTTAGGGAAGATATATTAATTTTCTAGTATTTGGTTCAAAGTTCGGAAAATGAAAAAGGAAATTAGTTTTTTTGTGATAACATAATAAAACATGTTGAGTTTTGATCAGAGAAGTATGAGAATAGTTTTGAGTTTTATGTCGACTTCTATTTTAAGGAAGAACCAAACACCGGAAAATGGAAAAAGACTTTGGGAAGTCATTTTCCCTTCCTCCTCCCATTCGAACCTTTTTTTTCGTGTGGCATTTTCTCACAGAGAGCTAAATGCCAAACGGAACCTACACTTCAGTATATTGCCTCACCTGAATATAGTCAACATTCATCTCATGTAGATTTTGAAATAGATTGTGAGATGACAATACGTCAACAATGCCTCCGGGTCCAACTGGCCTTTGGAGGATTTCCCATGGCGATTTCATCAAGATCTTGTGTTTGTTTTCTTCATTTGAAATACTAACAACGGGAAGCTTTTCTTCTGGCAAGAACCAGACCTGTATTGGTTGCAAAGAGGGAGAAGACTCAAAGTTGGGTATCAAGTTGGAAAAAAAATTGCATTGCCATGCTCTACTTGTGAAGTTGTGTTGTGAGACTCTTCCCGAATATTGTCAGATTTGCCCCTCTAACTTCTTAATGGTGTTAATTTTGGTCCAGTACAAAAACTACAAATAGATAATCTCATTATGAATACCTTTTTCTTGGAAAATTGTGTCTCATCGGAACAACGTAATTGGCAATTTTCCAGCAAAAAAGCCCTCAATGTGATATTTTAAATTCATACAGGACAAAAACCTGCACCACCCAAAACTTACGGGACCAATTTGGCAATTCACCCAACTCTCAATTAGAGTTCCAAACAAGCAGAGGTTTATGTATTAAAAATATAGATCTTATATTTACTGATCTTTTTTAGCATGAGTTTTTACTGTTAGGTAGTCTATAAGCTTAATTACCTCTACAATTTAATGCCGCCGACCCCAACTAGTTGGGATTAAGGTGCTGATGATCTTTGATCTTATATTTCCAACAATTTATTTGAATAACATTGAAGCACCTTTTGAATAACAAACATGACATACCTTCTCTGAGTCAAAAGAGAAAAAATCGTTATTCATAAACAGCTCTTTTAGAGAATCAACAGAATGAGCAGGACAGATCAATACCAAAGGCACAGATGAACGATCCTCCACCTACACATAACATAAAACGGGTCAGATAAATATTTAAAGAAGCCTACGTGATGGGTATATATTGGGAGTTGGCCCAATGCACTCAGCGCAGTTGATCACGGTTCGTAATTAGCGCCCCTAATTATAAATCCAATCATACTTAACGCCCCTTATCTTGATATTCTAAGGGCAATAAAGCTTCTGTCTCTCTAGTATTATTCTCAATTTATACTGAACTACTGTGCATAATCCTTGGTGGATTTTCCTTTCTATTCATTTAGACATGAAAGATTACCCTGATCAATCTTTCATCATCATTTAGCAATGCTTTTAGATGCTGATATGTTTCTTCCATATTGTTATCTTCCATATTGTTATCCGAGTCATTTTGAGGAGTAGACAAAACAAGAGCAGCCTTCCCAGAAGAAATGAGATGTTGACCCCGCTCAGAATGCTCCCCTTTTCCACTATAACATAATTCTTCTGAGACTTTTAGTGTATGACTTGCTTTGGATGTTCTTACGAAGTCGGGAAAGCTCCACCTGGCACCAAATGTTTCAAAACTTACATGATGATGATATTCATTGGAAAAATACCTAAATAAGACTAAAACATACAAGTTTGTTTTCCTCTTCAAATAGGTCTTGGTTGCTCTTTACGAAAGAAAAAGAATTTACAATTGTTACTCCCCCCCCCCCAAATCCCATAAAGATGGTCTACTACCTTCTTTTAGCCCGTCTCACAAAAATAGTCCAGTTTCTTTACGGATATGAATTTTTCATTTCCAGGATTATCCCTAGTTAATCGCCAATATCCAAATCCAGTACTACTTACACATATGAAACTGTTAACTTTAAAAAGGGTAAAAATGGTGATTGCATATAAAAGTAACTGAGAAACTTAACTATCATTTTGTGAAATGGGATGGATGGTATTTGAGAGTGAGAAGTCCTATTTTTTAAACAGAACAATAGTGGTACTGCATTGGGATTTGACTCATGTTTTAGTTCTCTCTAGTGCAAAATCTGACAAAGTTAGAACCAAATGTATGTTTACATATTGAAAACAGAGAAATTTTTAGTTTACAAACAGCCTAACATGACAAGTGATAGCTAGAAGTTAAAAACAAAAACGGAAGAACAAAAAACTACAGTTGTAATTTTTGCATGGAATAAAAAAACTTCACCTCTTGGGCGAAGTTCCCGTATTTTTCAATGCATGAGCAAGTAACTTTGAATTTACAGAAACAATCTCTTTTGCAAGTCCACTTCTTTGGCTTTTTTCTCCATACTTGAACCCATGAAAAACATGGTGTTGCTCCATTTCATGCAGTTTCTTCTTGGCTTGTATAAGGTGTCTTTGAAACTTCCTTCTTTCTTTCCACTCCTGAAGCACAATGGCAAATCAATAGTAAAGTCAGGGAAAATTAGAAAATAAGAAAAGTGGTCAAGAAGCACTTCTCCATGAATTGAATTCAAATTTTTACAACAGATAACCAATACAAGATACAGGCAACTTCAGCATCCATCAATAGGGAAGGGGATGATACGGTTGCTATTATTAATATTATTTACTTTTATTATTACTACGTATAATTTAGTAATATACTCCATAAGAATTAGTTTCCTATCATTATTATTAGTAATATAATTAGTCCTTTCTTGTATTAGTAGTATTGATAGTAATAGTTTCCTATTAGTATTAGTACTCTATTTTAGTTAATATTCAATAGTCAACTTATTACATTAGGACTGTATTAACTTGCTCAGCAAAACTCTTGGGACTAGTATAACTAGAGTTGTTATATTCAATAATAAAATCATCAATGGTTGGAGTCAAAACATTAGTTATGAGAATCCGGTCACAGGTTGTTCTCCCCTCCTAGCCAAGGGCAGGTTTTATCTTCTTCTTTTACGTTTTCTCCTACAGTCTAAAAGGTGGGGAGTAGGCAAACCTAACCCCTAACCCCCACCCCACTTCTACCCAAGATGTAGGAAGGCTGCTTTATGAAAATGCAATTACTTAGCAGATTATTTCAATGCTATAACGAGGAAAGGAACACTAGTTTCATATACACAAGCTAGTTGAGAAGTGAAAGAAAGTATGCCTCACAAGCTGGCGCCTTTCTTTCTTAGGTCTCTCATGAGAGCGGATATTTAATTCTAGGAGACCCTTTGGAGGCGTGATCAACATTTCCTTTTTACTTAAGTCAACATCTGGAACAATCGATTCTACGAAAGGAACCCAAACAAGGCGACCAGAAGCACCCGCTTCCCTCAATGGCTTCCCGGATTGACGAGGTGAACCAAAAGATGATTCGAGTTCAACATGAAGAAGATCATTTGCTCCAGTGTTGAAAACATTATTAACAGTTCCCACTAACTCTCCAGTTTCCTGAAAAGGATGATCAATAAAACAAATAACAGATCATTCACTCGATTTCAAAAAGTGCAAGGTAATAAAAGTAATGCTTTAAATGAATACTAGATCATATTTTTAACTAGAAATATTAAAAAATACATCAGATTTATTTCAAACACAAACCTTAAGAATAACTCTCATGCCAACAAGGTCACGAGTATAAAATTCACCTTCCTGCAAAACTGGTCTATCATTGTCAGCTACAAGTACGGTTGATCCAACTAGTTTTTGTGCCTGAGAGAAAGAAAACAGCATTTGATTTTCTAGAGAAGTTAGAAAAACATATTTTTTTTCCTATCGCCACACTTTTTACTAATGCCAAGATTTTTTTTGGGCTAGCTGCAGGTACAAAAAAAAAACTATAATTACTCTTGCTTATTACTCCCAGTTTCCCACTAGGGGCAGGAATTTATGCTAACATCAAATTCTCTATATTCATATTTTAAGAGAGTAAGTTTAGGAGAACCTGTTCTACTGTGTTGATTTCATTAAATTTAACTATCCAACTCTTCTGCCCGGGATGCCCCCTTCCCTCAACCAGCTCAAATTCTTGGATGATCTGCTTCCCTGAAAATTGTTGCCTCAGCCACCGCCTTCCTGGCTATTCAGATCGTAAAAAGTCTAGATTAAGAGAATGTTCAGAACGAATATCATAACACCAGTTCTTTTTATCATCTTCTTAAACCCTTTTACCTTACAAAATCGCAGTTCAGGAAAATCTGTGGCAGGCTTCACCCTAACCTCACCTTGAAGCCCATGAGCACTACATACATATCCAATGTCTACAAATTCCAGTTCTTTCACAGCACCAGTTTCCAAAATCTCATTAATACCTTACAATGCACAAAAAAAAAACATCAGATAGCTCTTTGAAGTTAAGCTTTAAGAAAACTTTGTTAATCAATGCAACCTTAAATGACCATGAACACTTGAAAATTGCATCTCAATAATTAAAAAAGCTAAGAGCAACAAAAACAAAAGATTTCGAATTCCACGAGCTTCAAGATGCTGATGAAAATCAAATACATACATGGGAAAGGCGTGAAAAGTTTACCCGAAAAGAAATAAAAACTGAAACGGGGAAAGTGGATTAATCCAAAATCAGAAAGAACATAGATTTTAAAAATCACAGCTTTTTTGGTGGGGGAAAGGAGATCTACCATTGCAGTGCAGTGAAGGAACGGGTGGCTGGCAGACGCTGGAAAAGGCGAGTGGCTGAGCAGTGAAGAGAGATGCCGGAGCCGAACCGGTGGCTTGGTTGCTGAATGGTAATCGGCGGCGCAGAGGCGGCGGAAAAGAGAGAGAATTGGGGGAATGGAACAGAGCTGGGGAAGAGAGGAACTGCATTGCTTGTGAAGAAGAAATGGTATTCTAGGGATTATTTTAGTTCCCCTACGGTCCGACCCATAAAAGCCATGCCCAAAAAACATACTACCTCATTTGGGGAGACTTTTGGAACTGTTTATCTAAGCACTTTGATTCATCAAATTCTCTCAATGTGTAAGGCTAAATATAGTCATGTGTGATCTTGTTTGATTTGTCTTAACATATAGATTATTAATATATATACTTTTTATAATTTTTTAATATACAAATTACAAGATAAAATGGATTAAATAAGTGTATTGGATGGTGTGTAAAAATAAAAGTGAACAAATACTCTGGGACGGAAGGAGTAGAATCATTAGACATGATCATCAATATTTGAAAACTATTCCATATTATTACTTTGATTCAAATATGGTTAACCACAAATATCTAAAAGGGTTGATTAAGAAATGATTCTCAAATATCGAGACTCAGGATTATTCCATATTATTACTTTGATTCAAATATGGCTAACCATTGATTTCTTTTTATATTTTTAATTTTTTTTCTTCTCTTGCTTTTGTGTGGTGGAAATGAAAGAGGGTACAAATGGGATGCAAGATTTGGTGTACCCCTAGCATTTTTGAAGAAAATATAGGTGGAAAAATTGGAAAAGGAAAATAAATCTATTTCTCTTCATGTGTTTGGGTATATTTAGGGTGGAAGAAAAATAAATCTATTTTACTTCCTAATTAATAGTGTGACAGTACTAGCTATTTGGACTTTTTTTCATTTTAGGAAGAAAAGTATGAAAGAAAAAATGGGCACCTTCTATCCTCCCTTATCTTCTTTATCTTTCTAAACACAAATTATTCACTCAGCTCTTTATTTTTCACCCGTAATTTTTTTTAAATTCTCTATTTTTCATCTCCCAAACAAACGGTACAAAAATAGCTTTAACAACGCCACATCAAAAATCAAAACTCACCAACCTCTTTAACCCTACATATATAATACTACATCCGTCCCGCTATATTCGTCCACTTTTGACTTTTGGAACTGTTCATCTAAGCACTTTGACTCATCAAATTCTCTCAATGTGTAAGCCTAAATATAGTCATGTGTGATCTTGTTTGATTTGTCTTAACATATAGATTATTAACATATAATTTCTATAATTTTTTTAGTATACAAATTACAAGATAAAATGGATTAAAGAAGTGCATTGGATAGTGTGTAAAAATGAAAGTGGACAAATACTATGTGACGAAGGGAGTAATACTTTGTTATTTACAACACCAACTTTAATATTGTCGTACACATATACTACATCCGTTCCAAAGTATTTGTCCACTTTCATTTTTACACAACATCCAATACATTTCTTTAATCTATTTTATCTTATAATTTGTATATTAAAAAATTATAGAAATTATATATTAATAATTTATATGTTAAGACAAATCAAACAAGATCACCCATGACTATACTTAGGCTTACACATTGAGAGAATTTGATGAGTCAAAGTGCTTAGATGAACAGTTCCAAAAGTCAAAAGTGGACGAATATAGCGGGACGGAGGGAGTAATACTATTATTTTACTCCATCCGCTTTTGACATTACACACTTTTTAAGAAAAATTTTTAAAAAAATGTGAAGACTTTTCAAGGTCGATCTTAATATGATAGAATAAAGCGAATAGTGTATCTAGGGATGTCAATGGATCAGGTTCGAATTGGATAGTACTATATCCGAACTCAATCCGACTTTTAAAACAAATATCCAAACCCGAATTGATTTTTAAACTAAAAACCTGACCCGACCCGACCCGACCCGACCGAAAATGATATTTAAACCCAAAATCTAAACCTGAACCCGAATATGTAATTTAACCAATAACCAATTCATCGTACCCCAATAATTTAAAAAAATAAATCTAAACTCTTTTGTGTCGCTTTTTTTGTATCTCATTTTATGATTGTGGAATTGTAAAGATAATTATAAAATACTTGGTATGGTAGTACATACTTTTTCAAGACTATTGCGTGGCTAGAAATGCGAACAAGACAGTATACAGAACAAAGATGCAAACAAGAAAGAACCATAAAAGAATGGAAAACACACAGAGGTGCGATGTAAAGACCAAGAGAGGTATGTGGTTGCACCAAATAATTGAAAAAAAAAACATATTATACAGAGTACTCATCATATCCGTAGATAGGGTTTTAGGTTATAAATATTCGTGTTCGGGCCCGGTCGGGTCGGGTTTGAGTCAAGTCGGGTAAATTTATAACCCACACCTGACCTGACCAGTGTTGGGCTTAGGTAAAAAATTTGTCGGGTTCAGATTATTTTATTCTCAATTCGGGTTCGGATATTTCAGTGTTCGGTTGGGTCGGTTAAGATCGAATTTGGGTTGAATGGTCATCCCTAAGTGTATTGGTGAGTGTTGCATATTTTGCAAAAGCAAGGAATGTCAATGAGGTAATTAAGACAAGAGTTTGATTCATGATAATTGCGCTGAGATACAATTATGTTAAGCATAGAGCCTTTATTAGTACCAAGTACGGGCTCAACTCTTTGCCACCAATCCGTGATCAAAGTTTAATTTACTTACTCTCCGTAACAGTTCGCGAGGTCTAAGGGATCTTCGAGAATGCGGTTTATCCTTTTTTTTTAAATAAAGTGAATAGTGAGGATAAAAATTAGGGGTATAATGACACATATATTAAAAGTTTTTTTGCCAAAATGGAAAACGGAGAACAAAATTTAACACTACATTAATTGGTTCAAGGAATTTGAAAAGAAAAGAAAAAGATTTTCTTTCATTTTCCTCATCAAAATGGAATGAATTCTATTTTCTTTCATTTTAGTATATTTTGCCTTCTCATTAGTTTTTTCTTCCACTTTTCTTTCTTTTCTTTTTTCTCTCTAACCAAACATAAAAAATTATTTTCCATCTCATTTTCTTTTCTTTTCTCTTTCAAATTCCTTGAACCAAACATAGCGTAAGCGACACAAAAAGAATATTGAGAAACATATTAATGGGCGGAGAAGTATTTATTTCTAGAAGAATGAAAGAATTCTATATCTGAAGACCCCCTTAAAGCTGACCGGACCGTCACTGAAAAATAGAAAAACTAGACTTTTGTTAGACAATAATAATAGTGAGCTTCATATTTCACATAATTCAATCATAAATAATACTTCGTATTAATAATTTTTTCTTTTTAATTAAATCATTCTTTAAAAGGATAAACTGCATTTTGTACATCACAAAAATCATTCATAAATAATATTCACTATTCTAAAAGCCATAAAATATAATGAATGAAATTTAATTTGAGGATAGAAAATTCTGGATTAAATTTAGAATATTAAATTGGCGGTTTGGTGATTGATTATATTGATGTATTTGAGTACTTCACCATTTATTTTCATTTTTATTTATATTATTTTTACAACTTATTTTGTTTTTTTAATGTGGGATGAAGACAAATATTATTTGTCTAAATTATTTGTTCTAATTTAAGGCTTTTGACCGAAAAATATTCCGTTGAATTATTGAATATTATTCCCTCCGTCCCAAATAAAGTTCATAGTCAGCACAAAGTTAGAAGAACGTGAAATATGTGGTTGAAAGTGTTGCATAGAAGAAAGAAAATTTGTGAGTCACTCAAACTTTTCCATAAAAGGAAAGAGGAGGCTTTTTTGGGACGTTCCAAAAAGGAAACAAAAAGTCTTTTTTGAGACAGATAAAGTATTTCATATCTTAAAAAAATATCTACAATAAGTTTATAATTTTGAAAAATCAATTTGAGAATTATATTTTGATGTTCAGTGTTCATTCAATAGTAAATTTTTTTAGTTTATTTTCTTTATAGGGCATGAATATTTAAACATAATCACAACTAAAGAAATGGGACCTATGTCTCGGAATTGTTCTAGACACTTCTTGTGTTAACAAGTGTTCCAAGACCGATGCGGATGAGGTCGCAAAAATGTACTCAAATAAATTCGTAACTTTATTTTTGTAGCGGTCGTATCACAGGTTAATTAATTTTCCAATTATAGATAGTACAAACGAAATTAATGTACTCCATATTACGTCCACTTTATCGTTCACCTCACGGAGTATTTAACATTTTTCCCAATATGAAAACATACTCTTAATTGGAATTTGCATTATGATTGCATAATGGACACGTGGATACGCATACCCGTAGAAGACAATTTCGCCAAGTGGAAACACTTGCAATTGAAGTGGGTAGTTTCACTTTATACTCCCTCGCTTTTGGAATATTAAAAAAATATTAAAATAATATTTTAAAAATATTGAATAATAAAAAATTTGGTGTTAAAATTTGTGCAGAAAAGAAAAAGATATTTTGAACTATGTATATTTTTAAAAAAAAAAGAGAAAATGAGAATATTATTATAAAAATGTATTTAAAGAAGACTAAAAAAAGTACAGTATATTTTAATATGTTGTACTCCTTCCGTCTCATATCTTTTTTCCCATATATTACTATTTTAACTTTACGAGTTTTTTTTATTTATTTTGTACTTTTTCATGACCCATATGATAAAATAAATTATTTTTAATATCGCTTATTTTATTGAACTTTGATGTATTTTTTAAATATGTAAATTTTATTTTTATTTCTATACTAATATTTAAATAAAATTGATCAAAAAAAACTAATTTTTTTTTCATTTTGCCAACGAGAAAAAAAGACATGGGAGGGAGGAACTAGGAAGTGTATTTTATTTGATATATTAAAATAAAGTATATTTTAGTTGTAGAAATTTTATTAAAAGCATATTGGGACGGATAAAAAAAATAAAAAAATGAGGGTGTCGAAGGGAAAAAACAAAATAAAAGGAGATTAAGAAAGGGGAAGTAGAGAGGAAAAGCAGAGAAAAAAGGCGCATATTCTTCCCATATTCTCTTCCATTTCATCACGTCTCTCTCTCTCTCTCTCATCTCTCTCTGATCAGAGCTTGAACTGGACTGGTTCTTGATGTGCTGCTTTCTACTTCCTCTTCAGTTCATAGGTTTTGATTCCTGGGTTTTCTCTGTTTTTCACTAATTTTAAGGTTTTGCCCCCATTTTTTTTTTCTCTCTGATTTTGTGTTTGAACATTCATCTGCTTAAGTGTTGCGGCCAATGAAATACTCCGTATTAAGAATTTCATGGTACTGCTTTCCTAAATTTCCCCCCCCCCCTTTTTGGATGATTTTATTTTAAATTGTTATAACTGTTTTTTTTTTCGCTCGGTCAAATTATTTGGATTTTACTCAGCTTTAGTTTCTCAATCATTTTTTTTCCTATAAAATTCAGGTATTGTCCTATTGAGCCCTTTACTTATGGGTACTTTTCTAGTTTGCTTTTACAAAAGAAGACATTTTTCCTGGTCGGAAATGGGTTTTATGATTTCTCAGGATTTGTTTTTAATGTTGGGGTTGTATTATCATGTGTTTATGTGCTATTTAAAGGCTTATTTATAGAGATTATACTCCTTGTGCTCTATTACTTTATCAGCAGGTTCAAAGTCTTTTTTTTTTAAATATTTAGAGATAAAATTAGATGCAATTAATGAGTGATATATGATGATGCAGTTAATTTTTCCTGTTTAGTGTGAAGAAGATACAATTTCTTGCTACATTGTCCAGTTAACTTTCAATTCCCCCATTTTTTTAAACATTGTTTGACTTGAGGAATTAGGAATGAAAAGAAATGCCTAGGAAAGGGAAAGAAAGTTAAAGAAACCAAAAGTCTTGGTTTACTTTGGTTAGTAAGGAAATCTGTAAGGAAACCGGTAAGAAAATTACATTTGAATGACATTTCTTTTTGGTTGTTGTAAAAAAAAACAAAGGAAGACCTGATTAAGAGGAGGGGAGAGAGGGAGGGTGGGGTGGGGGAAGGGCAGTGGCAGAGGGGGACGAGGGAGGGGCAGGAGGAGTTTTTTGCCGTTTCTCTCTTTTTCCTCACAAAATTGAACGAAAATCACTTTGTCACTTTTACTTAAAAATTTTACTCAAACACCAAAATTGATTTTCCTTTTCCTTCCGAATTCCTTGAACCAAACACATTGTAAAGTTCTTGGTATGAAATTTTAATTGTGCTTACTGGAAAGGAGTTAACTTGAGCTCGTGTATCTCTATTATGAAGTACATGATTTTGCATTCATTGGTTAAAAAAAGAGAAAAATATACCGGACTTTGTCGCGACTTGTTGTTGGTCAAGTCATTTTGTTGTAATATACATTAAAGCAAACATTTTTTCTCTCTTTAGAATTCATACGCATGGAGAACAACAAACTTCTGCCTTCACATATATATCCATTTTGTGTATGTTCTGGTAGTCACATGAAAAACATCCACCAAAGGCATTAATGTTTTTGTAGGAGCTACCAAACTTAAGGTCTGTTTTGAACCCGTGCACTATGTTTGGTTCAAGGATTTAGGGAAGAAAAGAAAAGAAATTGATTTTCTCTCATTTTTCTCACCAAAATGGGAGGAATTTGGTTTTCCTCCACTTAGTACATTTGTCTTCTCATTTTCTTTTTCTTAGCACTTTTCCTTCCCAACCAAACTTGAAAAACTGTTTTCCACTTCATTTTTTTTCCTTTTAAATTCCTTGAACCAAACATAGTGGTGGAGTTCTAGAGAAAGAAAATGGCATCATAGTATTAGATTTGCTATTTTTTAAAGCTTCCATTATGGCCGTAGGCGGACGTGATATAGCATTCTCCATTATTTTCTTTATTGATTTAATTAAAGAAAGTCTTTCACTCTTATCTGCTGTCTATTTTAACCCAAATAGGAATGAGATATTGCATGCCTTTAAACTATGTGATTGATTATGTAATTACCATGAATGTAAGTGTGTACTAATTGACAGTTCAACCCGCATTATCTCATAGGGGGCTTCTAGAGATTCCAATGACAAATTTTTCTAAAGGAGACGCCACGTGGAGGCTCTTTCCTGGATCAGACTGTTTTGATGCTTCAGCCAATGTTTCACTTTTTTCAAGCTCTCTTCCCGTTCTCTCCCATAAGAAGCGTATGTGATCCACATGTCATGCAACTTTTCTATGTACCGAGTACTTCTGTTAAAACTTTTTCTTGGGAAGTGTTTAGCATGGGAAAATCTTTCATTTTCCCATACAAACAGTCAGGCACACATCAAGTTAATATTTCAATGCAACTAAACAGAACTCAAGTCCCTGATCAAATTTTTCTTTACGGGCCTTAAATGTATGATGCAGTGAACTTGAGTGAAGTGGGACACGGTCTCAAAGCTATCGATGACACATCAGTCTTGAAGAAGATTCACCCTGAAGTAGAGGGTGATGACTTGCTTGAAGATTCTATTCGCACTTCAATCAAATGCTTGCTTCCTGACGATGAAGATGAACTTTTATCTGGCATAGTGGGTGGCTATGAACTGAATGGGCTTCCCAATCACAGCGACGACTTGGAAGATTATGATTTGTTTGGCAGTGGAGGAGGGTTGGAACTGGAACCCGATCCTCAGGAAAATCTAACTGTTGGTTTGTCAAAACTAAGTCTCTCTGATATTGCTGGAGTGCCTCATAATGGACTTCCTAATGGAGGTGGGGCCATCAGTGGCGAGCATCCCCTGGGGGAACATCCTTCAAGAACGCTATTTGTTCGTAATATCAACAGTAATGTTGAGGATTCCGAATTGAGGACTCTCTTTGAGGTGTCTTCTAGACTCTAGCTACTGACAACTTCATTTATTTCTTCTCTCAATGATCTTTAAGTTGCATTTTGACAATGTTTTAGCAAAATAATCATTTTTAACATTGTTTTAAGTTTTAACTTCAGGTAAATAATGGACTAAATCAGAATGACATATTAATCTTCCTTTGCTTCTTACTATCTATGAAGTTTTGGGTAGTAAATGCAAAAATGCATCATGGATTTAACGGAAACAACCTCTCTGTTTTTATGTGGTGTACACCTTGACCCCCCCCCTCCCCAAAAAAAAGACCCCTACAAAGTCAGGATTATACTGGGTTTTTGTTGCTATTATGATCTTATAGTGACAATTTTACGCTGTTTCCCTTCCAATGAGATTAAATCACAAAATTTTCATCAGCATGTGTTTGTGTCTGCATAGTTATTGCAACATCTGAATCCCTAACCAGATTTTTACTGTTTTGTGCGTCGCCCATTCTTGTTCCATAGCAATATGGTGATATCAGAACTATGTACACTGCTTGTAAACATAGGGGTTTCGTGATGATATCTTACTATGATATCCGTGCTGCTCGAACAGCAATGCGGGCTTTACAGAATAAGCCTCTGCGGAGAAGAAAACTCGATATTCATTTCTCAATCCCTAAGGTAAACATCATTTCTCTTCTAAGTAGGGGTAATGTCTGCGTACAATATACTCCCTCCCAAGATCCCACTTATGTGGGATTCTATTGGTTATGCACATAAAGTAATGATTTTTAATCCCTCTCTCTCTCTCTCTCTCTCGCCAGGATAACCCTTCAGAGAAAGATGTTAACCAAGGAACCCTAGTGGTTTTCAATTTGGACCCATCAGTTTCAAGTGATCACCTCCATCAAATCTTTGGGTCTTATGGTGAGATCAAAGAGGTATAAAGCTTTGTATAGTTACATTCATGTTTCATGCTTGTGCTTTAAGAGGTTGATTATCCTATTTATCCTTAATTGTGTTTTAAAACAGATAAGGGAGACCCCACACAAGCGGCACCACAAGTTCATTGAGTACTATGATGTTAGGGCTGCCGAAGCGGCTCTTAGATCCTTAAATAGGAGTGACATAGCGGGGAAGCGGATCAAACTCGAACCTAGCCGCCCCGGGGGAGCACGCCGAAAGTGTGTATACTATCAATTACTCCCTAATTAACAAACTCATCTAAGTATTGCTTAATTTAATTGCTATCACAAATGGTAATTGGAACTTGTGCTTCTTTACTGCTCTTTTTGGTAGGTTTTTAAGTTTAAACTCTGTAACTGGTAATACAGATTTGGAAAAATAATTATGCAAAGTTACATGGGAAATAGTTGTTAGAGCAGGGGCTCTAAGAGAGATCCATGCTATATTTTTACTCTGCTCGTCCCAAAAAACTTTACCTTTTTGACTTTTACGAGGTTTGAGAAAGGTGTTGAAAAGTAAGTGTATGTTAAGAATTTGTGACAAATGATGTCATACACAAGTCCATTACTAAAAAAAGGAAGTAAAGTTAGTGGAAAGTGTTTTTTGGGACGTCTAAAAAGGTAAAGTTGGTAAAAAAAATCGGGACGAAGGTAGTATTCATTTTCGTTTGGATGAATATTTATTTGTTATGCATTTTGTATTCTAGTTATTCACCACTCATCTGTGTGACATTCTTATGTTCCAAATCCAGTTTTCTGTTAAATCAAGACCCCGAACACGAAGAATCTCGGAGTTTACCTGTTCATTTAGGATCTTCATTCGGTACATCTCCATCAGGTAAGCTTTTAGGCACTCTCCCTCCCCAGACACAACTTGTAGGACATTACGACAAGAAATGAACAAACCCAGTAGAGTCCCACACACGATAGGGTCTGAGGAGGGTGAGTGTATGCAGACCTTACCTCTACTTGTGGGACACTATTGGTGTATATTGTATAATAACTCGTATGATGGCTCACAATATTTTTCTTGACAGGTAACTGGCAACACTTTGGCAGCCCCGGTGATCATCATGATCATATGCAAAGTCCTAGCAATCCTAATGGTTTTAGACCCTTGAATTCTACATCTGGAAATAACTTGCCCGGATTAGCTTCCATTTTGTCTCCTCAAACATTGAACTCTGGTAGGGTTGCACCTATTGGTAAGTGTGAAAGAACCAGTTCTTCCATCCAACAACAACCTCATTCTTTTCCAGAGCCAAAACCGAGTTGGTATTCCGGCCCGATCTCTTCATACGGTGCTTCTAGTTCAAACGGTTCGGGTATCGAAACGCTCTCCGGGACCCAATTTCTTTGGGGAAGTCCGAAGGTCTATCCTGAACAAAGTAACAATAGTTCTTCTACTTGGCATCCTTTCGCCTCGAACGGCCGCGGGTATCCGTTTCCCGCGCAACACCGCCGCCGGGACCTTCATAATGTGGGGTCCGCTCCATCGGGTCTTCCTTTCGAGAGGCACTTGGGTTTCTTCCCGGAGTCGTTACCGGAAGCCTCTTACTTGGGTCCCGCTTTCCGAGGCACTAGCATTGGATCCTACGAGAGGAGTCATATGATGAATGCGAATATGCCGGCCGATAGTGGGCCCCCCGGATTCAACATGTTGACTTCCCAAAGGTTGAGCTCCGTGTTCTTGGGAAACGGTCATGTACCGGGACCCACAGCTGCTGTGTTTGAAGGTTTAGCCGAACATGCGCATGCCAGGCGGGTAGAGGTTTATGGGAACCAGATTGATAATAGAAAGTTTCAGCTTGACTTGGACAAGATTAGAAATGGGGATGATACTCGGACAACGTTAATGATAAAAAACATCCCAAACAAGTAATGGCAAAACATCATTTCCAGTTCTTATTACTCCCTCCGTCCCAAAATGAACAACACTTTCTTTTTTTAGCTAGTCCCAAACTAAAAGTCCGTTTTCTCTTTTGGCAAGGAATATGTGTCCATCATTATTTTTCGCTATTTCAAATCAACTTTGTATCTGGTCAAAAGGGTCTTTTAATTATGAAAGGAGGGAGTATGATTTAGGAGACATATTGTTCAGCCTTATTAATAACAATTGGGAACCTTACATGGTTAATAATAATCTTCCTTTAGGTACACGTCGAAGATGCTGTTGGCTACCATCGATGAACGTCATAGGGGAACCTATGACTTCCTGTATTTGCCCATTGATTTTAAGGTGAATTCTTGATGGGTGATTGTGAAGATATTTGTCACGGAATACGTTTTTATGTTGCCTGAGCCAAGTCTAATAAGTATTCTTTCTTGTGATGCAGAATAAGTGCAACGTGGGCTATGCATTTATTAATATGTTGTCTCCCTTGCTCATCATACCATTTTATGAGGTTCAATTCTTTAACTATGGCATTTTTTGTGTAATCCTCCCATTGGCAAGAATCTTTTGATTGACTTTCTACATTTGCTACCAATTAGGCATTAAAGATTTCTTGACTTCTTTTTATTAATTCCATCCGCAACGACATTATCTTATAATTTGAATTATATAATGGTACATAAATTTCAATTCGTTCAGGCATTTAATGGGAAAAAGTGGGAGAAGTTCAATAGTGAGAAAATGGCTTCTTTGGCATATGCTCGAATCCAGGGAAAGAGTGCCCTCGTCTCTCACTTTCAGAACTCAAGCCTGATGAATGAAGATAAGCGGTGCAGGCCAATAGTATTCCATTCAGAAAGTCCAGATTCTAGTTGTCAGGCAAGAATTACTCTACCCCTTGTCCCTCAAAGAACTTCGTTGTTTCACTTTACAAGAATTCAAGAAAAGTGTTGAAAATGTGGTTGGGATTTTTTTAAAAGAGACCCGAGAGAATTTTTGTTCGCCCACATATTCCGTTTCCTTTGAAACTCAAAGACTATTTTACCCTTACTTTTGCACTATTTTCATGTTTTACATCTCCCTTTGACTTACCACACCACCAAGGGCAAAAAAGGAAAGTCAAATATTTTTTCATCTTACACTAGAAAGCGTGCCATTCAAAACGAGAAGAAATATGTGGGACCCAGGGAGTACTAAAATCGGTTAGCATGGCTAACGAGAGACCTCGTTGTGCAGATTGTCCAGGAACATCTAGTATCCAGTGGTCTGAACATTCAAACACGTCAATCAAATGTGTTGGAGTCATTTTCAAGCACCCCACCAGAGTGATTTTCAGCAGCCCGAAAGCATTTCGTTGTGTCAATCCAAGCAAAGTGGATGCTGTTTGGTTACCCGTAGTACGTTTTTGCTCTTTTTTTTTTGTGAAAAAAAAGCTCTAACGACATGTTCTTGTTTAGCAGTTTTTTGTATCATAGTAATGGCTGGTTTGGCAATCATCCTTTTGGCTCCTGCAAACCGGCAAAGAAGTGGCGCTAACTTATCTACGTTTTGGAAATTTTTGCAAACTGCGATTCGTCTGTTCGTCTCAGCTGTGGTGTTAGGTGAAGGGTATTTTTTTTGGTTAATTTTATTTCTTTTCATGAGAACGAAATAACTATGAATGGTACGTGTATATTGCCAAAAGTGTGTAAATTTGGCATTTTTACCCGCGAACGCGGTGTACAAAGTTTTTCTAACTCGCGGGCTCAGGGAAAGCCCCCACTATGATCGTGTAATGTAGACAAACTTTACCCGCTTTGGGTTACCATTATAAGTAATACGAGTACTTTAGATATAGTAAATACTCCGTACTTATTTTGGTTTGCTTTTATGAAATATATATTGTGCTTACTAAAATTGTGATATGCTCCCGTATGTATGTTTGTGTAATTAAACCTAAGCCTGGGGGCGTGGTTCAATTTGTCGAGAGGGTAGTGCCATAAGGGTTAACTTGGGTTCCAATCCCGACAATTACAGAAATAGGAGATCGTGCTAAGCATGAATTTATTGAATGTCAGACAAATCAGTACTGTCCTCTGGTCTTAGACCATGTGTAGTTATGGAGCCTGAAAGAGGTGTTTTCGCCATGTGTCAGCCACCTCAACAAGGCTTCATAGTTTAAAAGGAGTGCAGTGTATGGAACCCCATAAAGCCCATCCATCGTTACACATTTAGGGGCTGTTTGACAACTTCTGAATGGGTAAGTGCTGAACCAGTAAGAGGTCTGAACCATTAAGTGCTGAACTAGTAAGATGTCTGAACCATTAAGAGCTAGTATATTGCTTAACTATTCAGAGACAAATGTCTGATCAATTCAGATAAGAGGTCTTAACCATTCAGACTCTGTTTAATACTTAACCATTCAGAGGCAAATCTCTTAACCATTCAGACATCTGAAACATTAAGAGGCTGAAACAAACAGTCTGAACCATTAAGTGCTGAACCATTCAGACATCTGAACCATTAAGAGGCTGAAACAAACAGCCCCTTATTTTCTTATTCAAAATTTTAATTTTTATAAAGAAAGAGATAAATATGATTGGTTAAGGGACAAGGGGGGATGTGTTATACACATAACGGCATATGCAATTTTTTTTTCTCTTAAAGCCTCGAGGGGTGGTGTTTTCGTTAACACAAAAATATTATAAATCACATGTTATTTTCAATAAAAATTCAAATATTAAATTGGGACAAGTGAAAGAGAAAAGCATGCATACTTAGGCTATGCTCTCTTCACCTGATCTGATTGGAATAAGTTTTGATCTGATCTAATTTAATCTGAATCTAGTTATATTTAATGCTATTTCTGATCTGATCTGATTCTAATAAGAATATAATAAGTAAAAAAATAAGTTGGGAGAACATAATCTTAATCCCTCTGTTCTAATTTAATTTCTTTATTTGACCTTTTCTTCATCAAATTTGAAAAACTTTGATAGAACTTTAGATGTTAATTACATATAGTTATTATGATATTGTACTACTACTAGAATCATTTTTAAAATGATGTCTTAAAAACTCACACTTTGATATTTATCTATGTACAAATATAATTATTAGCTTTCAATCTAATTTCAGAGGTATGAAGTCCCACTTTAAGATGTACAAATATTTTACCTCTACTCTTAGGTGTATATAGAATGTTTCTACTAAGGAACCCTCCCTAATAAGAAGTGAAAGGTGGCATGAGCAAATAAATGTTAGATTATGCATTTCTCATATAAGAAAGAAACCAACTTCACATAAATTGTACTTCACATACACAAGCTGATATGACCAAATCCAAAAGGGGCATATATACACACCACTCATTACACCATTTTTCTTCATCATGATGGCATTCAAGGAGAACCTTAACAAGAATCAATCACCCCAAGTGTAAGAATTATCAAATCGAAGAAGAAAACGGTATATTGAAAATATGCACCGTGTTAAAAATTGGAAGCCAAAAGAAAAAAAAAGTGTCGCGGGGGTAGAATCACGTCGTGCTGCTTGTGTCCATACTTGATGCCCTCAAACTCGGCTTCTGCGTTCGGAAATTGATGTCAACTACAAAGTAGCACTTGTGTGGTTCTCTGATGTAGCGAACGTGGCCATTCATCATCCCCACCAGTTTCATTGACAAATGCAAAGCCATCCCTTCTTGCGTTGCCAACCTGCTCCTACTTCCTCTTGACATGTCCTCAACAAGAGCCGCCGGAAGGCCTTGCCCGGGATGAATCATTCTAATTAAACGAAGGGAGACACGCTGTGAGAATCCAACCAGATTCGATGAATTGTTAATGTATAAAACATGGAAAAATTTCATGTCAAGAGTCTAATGGAAACATCTTGGGATGACATCATGACAATCTCATTCTTACCTGATGGATATCCAAACTACCCGATCCGATTAAATGGACGAAAACCCAAACAAGTATGATGATACTCGGGTGATGGATGGAAAGATATACATGTGGGTGTTTTACTCACCCGTCACCCGATCCATTTACCCTTCTGCTTTTTTCGTCAAGTTTTTAATCTTATACCAATATGCTACTCTGTAAAGTAAATTATGGGTTCTTCGTTGCAATGTAAGGATAGATAATTTAATGTACGGAGCACTATTATCAAATAAAAAATAGACATTTTATTATTATTATTATTATTTGTGATAATTTTATGAAATGCTAATTTCACCCGCTTTGCACATGTTTCACCCGCGAATAACAAATAGATCGGGTGATGGATGAATCATGTTACAGATGGAGAGTGGATAGAGAATGACGGTAAACTTTCACCGGATTCAAACCCAACCCATTTGCGTTCCTACGTACAACTCGACCGCCCAAACCCCAATAAAGTTGAGATTATATTGGGTTGTTGAAAAAATCATGTCAATACTCCTAAATGTGACATTTTACAGGAATACTCCAAGCTTACATAACTATCACCAACGTTCTAAAAAATTAAATATTTTCACAATAATACTCCACGGAATTGGTTTAATGCACATTGATCCCCCATTTTTTCACGAGTATATGTGATCAATTTGTAATCTTGAAGTATTTGTGTGAAAATATTTAAATCTTGGGAACGCTTGTTACGATCACGCAATCTTAGAGTGTACATGTAAAATCTCAAATTTCTTGGAGTATTGACATGAACTTTTCAAAAAAAAAAAATATTGTAGAGGTTACCTGAACTGGACACAGATGAATGCATTCCCATCTTGCATCAGCTTCAACCCAGGGATCACCCGGATTTCCACCCAACCATCCGAAGAAGGTGAGTGATTCACTACACTGAGCAAGAAATCCGAGAGAACGAGCTGAAGCTTAATTTGATCTCCGTATAGGGTGAGGGATCTGATCCGGTCAGGGACATCATGAAGTAACTTTAAATTCTTCTCCTCCAGTGGAATCATAGCTTGGGTAACCACTGCATCGATAACGTTCCCTACAACAAATTCTTCTGTCTTCAGCTCCACTTTCCTGCCACAACCATGAGAAGAAAGTGATAGACATTATTAGAAAATCTAATTGTGGCGGCGAGTTTGGCAACTAGAATGGTGAGGTGAAACACACCATTATTTTTGTTTTAAGATTAGTCCAAGGAAAAATAATGTCAATAAGAAAAGGCTTTATGATACAGAAATTGAACAAAAGACCAAAAGATCATAGAATGAGAACACGTACTTGTACATTGGACTTCCTTTGACACCCAACCCCGGTGTCATAATATGACACCAGGTCCATTTGAGAGCCCTGCGGTGTTTAGTTCAACCCCGAAGTGGTTCTTACCTTCTCCCCCCCCTCCATATTTCACTGAAATGCTACAGTGTTATCATAACAGCGAAACCATAGTGGGGTTTTTGGGGGCTAAGGAAGTAGGAACCACACTAGGATCGAACGGAGCAGTGTAGGGTGCTCAAATGGACCCGTTGTCATATTATGACATCGCCCCTTGGTGTCAAAAGAGCCAGACTCGTACTAGAATTAACAAGAGATTCCAAAAATTGAGTTACCCCTCTATTATGCCTCCATACTCTATGTCCTCGATTATAGACATTATCTGTCTTTCGCAAGCTGCACTTGCTTCCAGATACTGTTTCTGAACATCTGAAGTAACTGTATCTACAAGGAGCTTGTGGGTGAAACGGATTCCATTTAAGGGATTCTTCATCTGCTGTCGGATGTATGTGAACTCTTTAAGTGACATCGCACATTCTCTGTCATCATTTTCGGCATCTCTTCTTGTGGATATTTGCAAGAAGCAGAAACTGGGTTAATACAAAGGGAAGGGTAGGGAAGAGAACAAACGTCAATACTTGTGAAGGTTCTTTGAGGGAAAAGATAGTTTTTTGGGTTTACCATCGAAAAGTGACAGTACCGGTGAATAAGGAACCATGTTCTCTTAGTACTTAAACCAATCACGTAGAACTGGGGATTCAACTGTGTAGGGAGGTTTTTGGAGCGGCCCCAGTCTCTTCCCTAAGACCTCAGATTTAGACCAGCCCGTTAACTGTTCCATGGCAGCATTCCATTCGGAGCAGCACACATTCTGGTCACAAGCAAATATCGGCGGGATTAGTGGATTGAGACTTTGTACAATGGCCTCATAATCCCCTTGCAGCCGGACAAACTTGTCCATGACAACTATCTGGGGAGTGATGTCTTGACCCACAAAACATGCCCCGACAATGTTGTTTTGGGAATCCCTACTTGTGCATGCATTCACTACAAGGTGCACGGCTTGTCCTGTTTCATGACTCCCAAATGTTAGCAGCTTTACTTCTATGTTTTTGCCCTCCTCACCTGAATTAGCGCGAATCATGAATTATTCTCCATACATATAACCAATTGGTCACAATAAGAACCTGCTAAACAAATATTCAAAAAAAGAACTTAATGTGCAATGAAATTTAATAATGGGAATCACAAAGTGATAATTTTTTGTGTATGATGTTTTTCCTGCAAAATAGTGTGATAGAAGGTTTCACGTTTTTTTTTCTCTACCAAAATATGGCCCCACTTTCCCTTAAGGAAAGAATTGTGTGGCTCACATTATGTTTCTCTCCCTCAATCACACGAGGGAAAATAAACCAATACAAAGCCTTAATGTTCACTAAAATCGGTAATAGGGATCACATGTGCAAAATGGAAGACAATCTTGCTTATGAAAAGAAACCAATACAAAGCTTAGCACATCAGATCAGTTTGAAACATGGCAACAAGTAATGACTAAGTTAACCACATTAATGAACCTCTTGATCAAACGTGAACTAATTTTTTTACCAGAAGCAATTACTATGGAGTATCAATTATGGAAATGTAGGCATCAAAAACTAATAAAGAAAGAAAGCATGAAGTCATGCTAATTGCATCTATTCCCCCCCCCCTAAATTCCCGCTTTTATTCGAGCAAATGAATTATTTACCTTGTAGAGCTTCACACATAAAACTTTGAAAAGTTTCGCGCGAATCTTCATGAGTGACATAATCGATGAGAGGCTTTCCGATTGCTGCATCAGCTCCCAACCCTGTTAGTTCAGCAACCTTGGAATTCCATCCGTTGATTACTCCACATGAATCAACACCGAAAATCGGAGCTGTAGCTGTCTCAATCAACCTGACAAGTTCACGCGCCATTGAACTAAGTTCAAAAAACCTTGTCCCTTCAGAATCACTCTGTTGGGAAGATGACATGCTTTTCACAAAGCTCTCCCCAACCCCTTGAAGGGAATCTCTCAGGATGAGCTGTAACGAATGAATGATATTAATTTCAGAATCTTCCCAAGGCAGACTTTTCCCTTTCACCACTTCAAGAAACACATTGAATGAAGACCGAGGGTGCATTCGTTCACCATCATCTTTCTGCTCCGGGTGATGCTTAGCCCCTCCCCATTTCACTTCCTTAGCAGTATGAGACCTGAACCAGAAAAGAAAGTCCTTTGAAGAACTGATTCTTGCAGTGGCCATTCCTGAAACTGCATCACCTAATAACCCTGCCCCAGGGTACCCAGCATCTGCAAGACAATCTGTACTCAAACCCGTTGAATCCCCGTGAGTATTTAACAGCCACTCAGCAATATCTTTGACTTGTGCCTCGTTTGGTGTCACACCAAGTAACCAACACTTCCCACCGTAATACAGTGCAGCCCCATCACACCTAACCAGGTCCATCACGTTAGGCGATTGTGTAACTATCCCAAACGGAGCGTCCCGGAGAAGCATGTCACATAGCAAGCTCTGGGTACGGAGCATTTTCTTTTCGGCTAATTGTATGGCCAACTGAAGTTCCATATGAAGCTGGAGGCTGAATGCTTGCATGAGGAACTCACACGCATAGCGAAGTGGGAAAGGAACATACCTTGAGGTAGTATGGTGACACACTACCAATCCCCAAAGCTTCATGGACTCGCCGCTGTTAATAACAACTGCCATTGCCAATGAGGCAATAGACCCCATGTTAGCCATATAAATGGTATGACAGCCGTGGGGGGATCTAAGGGTTGAATTAACCAAACATAGAGGCTGTTGCAGTTCTTCAGCTTGAAAAATCTTGACAGGTTGCGCATTGCAATCACAGATCATCCTAACCCTATTCTGTTTAAACAAGAAACGTGCTGCTTGGGGGATATCAGTTGCAGGATAGTGCAACCCCAAATAAGGCACCAAATCTGACCTCCTGATTTCTGACACAACCTCCCCGTGATCATCATCGTGGAACTTATAAACCATCACCCTATCGTACCCAGTCAGCCTCTGTACGTCTTCAACTACTGTGTCACACAACATCCCAATATCTCCCCCGGGGAGAGACTGAAGCCTAGAAATCGCACGGACAGCGAGTTTCTGCGATTGAACAGCCCCTGCAAGCAACACTGCATGATCACCGGAGCTAGCAGGTTCCAAATCAATCACAATCCCCACATCGATCCTGTGGAGCACAGCATAAAAGGGCTTTTGGTTGCTCCTAGAATGTACCCAGATTGGGTTCAGCAGAGAAATCTCCCTACAAGCCAAGGCTTTTGCCAAAGAAGCCCTAGCAGAGGGGGTGAAGAGAGTCCTGGCGTCAATCCCAATCAGACTCCTCTTATCCCTAGGATCAACAAAACCCATCAAACCCAACAAATCAAAGCAATTCTCACTGAACCCAATAATCTTGAAGCTGGGTTCCTCAACTGCAAGCATACATCCGAAGGGTTGGATAAGGCCACCCCTCTGGATTCTTGACAGATAGGCAACCATTTCTTCTTCGGACGCATTCTGGGTCGCATTGTTTACTGACCTAGCGTAGTTGAAAGACTTACCTGACTCCCCACACTGCTCAAAATCGGCCATTAGCTTGGCATCAGCACTGTACTGAGCCATTGCCTTTCTTGCGCTCTTGCTGCCTGCGGCGGCGGCGGCGGATTTGCTGCTGTTCCCCGCGGTGGGTTCGTTTTCCTTGCCTGAAAAATCCATTTTTTGGGTTCTTTGAGGTGAGGTGGTGGATTCTGCACATATATATCATGCGGGTTCCGAGATAGAAGCAGATGAGGGATCTGTGTCATCTCTGTGATTGTATTTCTTCGATTCTCTTCGACGAATCCGGGACTTCCGCTTCCACCCCTCTTAATTTTTTATTATTATTTTAATCATCTCTCTTTTTTTACTATCTCCATTGCCGAGTAATCTCTGCTTCTCAGTAAAATGTCAGATTGCATTTACAGAATTTCAGGTCCAACTCCCAACTTTTCTAAAGTGACCTAACTAAGTGTCTTTCTCTTTTCAAAACTTCCTTGTGGAAGGAATGACTCGAGAGCGCTCCGGTGACCTGAATACACTCCCACTCTCTTTAATTGTATTTCACAAATTGATTTTGACTTTGAAATCAAAATTTAACTCCAAAGTCAAAATCAACTTGTGGAGTGCAATTGATAGGGGTAGGGGGTGCGTTCGGGTCGGGCCGGGTGAAGGTTTACCGGGAGATTAGGGGGATAGGAACCGTCAATTTTACGAACGGGACACCGAAGCGCCCCCGAGTCATCGCATGACATTGAGGTCCATTGTCACTTGAACCTTGGTGTAATTGAAGGGGGTGAGGGATCCATACCACATTTTTTTATTCAAAAAATAAAAGGAGAAGTTTCCTAAATAGTATTAGAACATAATGACTTTCTCAATATATTACCATATATTTTTATTTTTCAGTGTAGTACCACTGGTTATTGTTCAAGTAAATGTTCACTGTCACTGGACATTGTTCAAACTAAATATCTACTATCACTGGACATTGTTCCTGTCACTAGACATTATTCAGGTACTATTTAGGGAATACAAATATTTACGTACTACATTGGAAAATGACATATGTTTTAGTACTGTTTAGTGCAAATTTCACAAAATAAAAATGTTCATTTCATTAATAAGAATTTTCTTACTTTCCTTGTGTGAAGTAGGGGTGGGTTCGGTTTTTGCGGTTCGGTTTTCACCCAAAACCAAAGACAAAACGGAAGGTAAATTGGCAGTTCGGTTCGGTTCGGTTTTGCATAAAAAATATGTAAACCGTTGGTTATTCGGTTCGGTTTTATACGGTTTTTATTTCGTTTTTTTCGGTTTTTTGGTTTATCAAAGTAGAAATTTATAAGCATTAAAAAATTGTAAAAACACTAACTCGATGGAGCAATAACAATATGTTGTGTTAAATTTGGTTTTTTGATTTGAGTTTTACACAAAAACAAAAATCAAACGGAAGGTTATTGTATCATTCGGTTCAATTTTACATAAAAAAAATATGTGTTGAGTACCCAACAAACATTTAGGAGATTCCAAATACTTCCAAAGACATCGTATGTAAAATTAATTACGAAGAATTTGTGTTTTTTGGTATAATACTTTCATTTTCATTATAACATCAAAGTATTTTTTTATGTAAATATGTAAATTACTCGTATCAATATTTAATGTTAATATAATTCTTTATTTGGATTAGCTATTGGTTTTTATATTCTTAGATTTTTTAAAAGTTTATAATAGTATGGCTAAAATGTTTAATTAATAGTTAAGAAAATAATTTTAATCGATTAGTAATTTATTTGCATTTATATTTCTATGATTTTTCTACATATCAAATATATTTATATAAAAAAACGAAGTATCTAAGAAAGTTCGGTTTATTCGGTTCGGTTCGGTTTTTCAAAGTGAAAACCAAAACGGAACCAAACACTAACGGTTCGGTTCGGTTTTTTTACATTCGGTTTCGGTTTTTTCGGTTCGGTTTTTTTTCTAGCTCGTTTCGATCGGTTTTGGTTCGGTTTGCGGTTTTTAGTTTTCCCAACCCAGCCCTAATGTGAAGTCTATTATGGACCTTATCCCTAAAGTAATTTTTTTCTTAATTTAAATGTCCTCATAATCTTCCCACTAATTTACATAGAAAACTATTTCATATAAAGCCCTGTTTGTAAATTTAGAATTAACTAAAATATTTGACGTAATATTCTATTAATAAATGCTGATATGGATGAGAAAGAATGGAGTACGCACTCGTTAAACAATATTATTTCAAACACTTGGAAGCGGGCGTTCAGAGACAATAGATCTTATAGCAAGGACCAAGGAGCAAAACCCTTGGCCAATTTTATTTTGGTTTTATTTGTTTTATGAAAATTTGTCAAATTTTTACGTAATGTTTCTAAGAAGTAAACATGAAAATTGAGTTTTCAAATATTAAAAACTAGTATTCGAGTGTTCACTATAACTTTCAACAATTTTCCTTGAAACGCACTCGTATTTGAATGGTCCATTGAGTATTCAAATACTAAACTCTCATAAATGAATCTAGATATCGATTTTGTGACCCTTGAACATTTGAAAACTACTTTGAGTATCTGAATGCTAATTTGGATCTCGTAGTTTTGAGGCACCACGAGTATTCAAATACTACTATGTAGTATATATTTAAATACAACCTTAATAGTTGTGTTGATTAGTCCAACAAACATGTCTAGTCAGATTTTCTCTATAAATATAGAGGATTAGTGATATATTTTTGACATAAAAGAGATCATACATATTCGTTCTAGATGCTTAAAGTCTTATCTAATTAAAAATGTTTGGAGTACCACCAAAATTACTTTTATCAAAAAGTATTACAAAGGTTATTATTCATAAATTTATCAAGCCATTTCTCATACCTTCGTAGTCAAAATATCTTTCTAAACGGTAACACAACACTATAGTGAATATCTTCACACTTAGGGCAAGTCTACCCCATGAGAAAAGAGGATGACCCCATTTAGATTAGAAAGTACAGAAATTCAATTCTCTATCCTATATAGTAGAACTTTAAACCAATATGAATACATATGAGTGTATGATTTTGATCATGTTCTCTTTGCATGATTTGAATGATTTTGATCTCAATAGATTAAGTTCTGATATAATCTGGTTTGATCCAATCTGATCTAAATGTAGTTTTATTTAAAGTATTTTTTGATATGATCTGAATTGATTTGAACTGATTTCAATAATAAAAATTAATAAGTAATAAGAAAAAATTGAAGAGAGCATGATTTCATGTACTTGATACAATCGTGAAAACTACTTCATGACACTCGATCGATATTTCCTTGTGTGTGTATGAAAGACCATTTTTCTTTGCTTTTCATTACTTTTTACCAAGATTTGACTCCTTTCACAATACCTTTCTTGTACCTCTTCACCTCTTGTGATGACTTGAACTTTGCCACCGGAGAAAGAGGCTTTCACTTTGGTTTATGACACGACCAAACATTCCCCAAAAAGGGAACCTAAGAATTTGGGTAGCAGTCATTTCTTCCACGGCTCTCCCTTTCCCGAGAACCGGCACGTGTCCAGTCAACCGGTCCTCCACTCGGGCGCCGATCCTCTGCGCCCACCCTTTCCGTAGACCATCACACCACCCCAACCACAATTCACCTCTCGGACAATTCTACCCTCCCCTTGTCCGCATAATGACATTCTTGCCCTCACCGCACCACCCCTAAGGCGTTTCGTACAACCCCGTATCGTGGTCCGCGTTACACCCGAGCGGAGCTCCTCTGGAAGTATTATCGCAGCCTTTTATATGTACAGGATCACATCAGGAAGAAGATAAAGTTTAGAGAGAGAGAAAACGCGTCACAGGAGGAGAGAGAGAGAGAGAGAGAGGAATTCTGCTCTCTTCTGTAGGTATATACCTGAGAAGATTATCTTTTTCTGTTGCGATTACTGTTGTTTTGTTAGCTTGATTGATGATGAGAATTTGTTCTGTCAATTTCGTTTTTCTTTATTCCGGCGGAATTGAGTTCGAAATTGGATGATCGGTTTCGAGTTGCGTGGTTACTCGAAGCCGGCGAGTTGTGGGGTTTTCTTCGACTGGATTTGATAGTTTGAGTTTCTGGTGTAATTCGGTTGAATTATTGAGTCTTTCACGGTGGACTTAGGTCTTCGAGCTGAGTTGAGTTGAGTTGAGTTGACTCGCCTCCGTCTTCTCTCGTAGGGGTTGGTCGAGATTCGTCGATCTGGAATGGAAATTGTATGGATGTGGGTTGAAGGGTTTGAGTTGAGTACTTGAGTTGACCTCTTTTAGGGTTTGATTGGATTACGTGAGGGTTTTTTTTTGTTCAAGTTCAAATCTTTTAGCTCTTTTGTTGCCTTCAAGCTTTATATTAGGATATGATTTATCTTGAAGGGGATTACTTGGGTCGGATGGGCGTATAATGCCGGGCCTCTGATTTTCTTGCTTCAAGCTGAAACCTTTCAGCGATTGTGTTTTTTCTTTCCCTACTGAAAATTTATGTGTGTTAGCCTTATTTGCGCTGTAAGATCTTGTTTATGTGTCAGCGCTTTCGTTGTAGAAGCAAGTGGTTTGCCAAATTAGCAATGCGCAAATGTCTAAACTATTCTTCAAGTTCATAGTGGTAGATAGTAGTTTCCAGTGCTTCAGTGTAGAGCATGTGGCTGAGTCTTTATTTTTCTCAGACAAGAATGAAGAAATGCCAATTTAATCTCTTCTTAGTCCCGTTTTTCCTTTTAGTTGAGGTAAATGCAGTGTAAAGGTTCATGCACGAGGCATTTGCTGCCGTGGGATGGCCGGACTAGTAATTTAGTAGGGAATATGTTCCGGAAAAAGTCCCCTTTTGAGATTAATAATCTGGGCCTTGGAGGGGTTGGTGGGTATTGTCCTGTATCATCTCAGTCACATGATAAGTAAAAACAATTCTTATTCATCGTGCATATGGTAAGACGAGTGTATAATTGATGGTGTTAGTGACTGATGATGTAGTGCATAAGGAACGTTGATGTTCTTCGGTTTGAACATCAATCTGCAAAAACAAATGATAGAAAGGTGAGACTAAGGAGTGGAGTGTATGGAAGTAATAGCTGATGGGTTATATCATCTCACTGATTACTTTTTAACTACTTCCAAATTTGGAATTTGGGAAAACATATAGTAAATGCACTCATAAAACGAAGTGAATGTAGATGCACATGGTAATGTGAATAACTCTATCAGTCTAGCTAGGGAATTGAATGCCGGGTTGTAAAGTTAAGTCTCTATAACCTCCACAAGTCACTCCTCTATCTCATCATTTGGCTTATGTGAGAACATCATGTCCTTTGCAAGTATTAGCCCATCCTTGGACAGCATTTCTTTTCTAGTACACTACTGGCTGTTATTTAGTTGCAACTGTGGGAAATCAATTCTTGATCACGAAGCTTGCATACTATTTGGTAACATGTGTTTTAGTTTAAGAATGCTCCATTATAATCTGTGAGCTAGTAAGGTAAATTTGAACCAAGGTTTTCCAAGGAAAGTCCATTATGTATCTGATTCGAATCTCCTATTTGATTAGCTCAGTAACTTACTTGTTTTGAAGTTTGAGTGCATGATTAACTGCATGTCAATCTTCTGTTAACAGTGTTTGATTAATCATTTGATGTGGAGATTAAAGATCGGCGCTTGAAAAGAGAGTCTGTGCCTCCTACTTCTCTGACTTCTTTGACCGTCCTCTCCCTTTGCTGCCTTTGCGTTTGTATGCAGACCGATACATAAGGTTCTGTAATCTCTTTCTCAATGTGGAACTGATTCTCACGACAGTCTTGGGTGACTGATCTGCTCGTGCCAAGATTTTCCTTCATCTGTGTATGTGCCCAGTGTTATATCAAGTTCTTGAAGGATCCAACAAGTGCTGATTAGATGCCATCAATAATGAAGACAAAGTCAGCCAAATCCTGTTCGAAAGAAAAAAAAGGTCTTCACATCTGCCAAAGATCGTGTTCCATATACAAGAATTCTCTCTCCCATGTCAAAGTTGCTCAAAATTCAGAACTTGTTGAGTTTGATCAAGATCATCATGATGGTAAGAGATGTATTTATGTAAGTTCATTTTTTTAAAGTCAATATAGAAGGATAAAAAACTGAAAATGCTGTTATATGTATTTAAAGGCATGATAAATTTGACTAGAGTTTTTTGAAATATTTACTCCCTCCGTCCCAATTTGTTGGGCATGTTTTCCTTTTTTTGTCCATCCCAAGTTGTGACTGTTTCCATTTATAGAAAGTAGTATGTCGTTCATATCATTTCTCTCTCTTCTCCATAAATCTCAAAAACACAGTTTTTACTTCCTTAATATCCACGCTCAGTCAAACTCAGCTTACCAAATTGGGATGGAGGGAGTATTAAACTTGACAATTAAATGTTTTCCTATAGATCTATAGTATTTTTAAGGGGGAGAATGAACTTAAAAAAGATTATGAACAAGTAATGTTTTCCAAAGATCATTGGATTATAGGTATCATTCAAACCACTTTTTGTAATAAAATCATTCTTAATCATTGAAAGCTCTATGTCCCAGTATTAACTTCAGTATTTCCTCTCATGGATGTTTCCCAATAAACTTCACTTCCCTTTTAATGAGAGAATTGTGGGGTTGACATTTGTTTTTTCCTTTTTAAGTAAATCTTAATCACACTATTAACTTTCTAAATTAAATAATTAATGTGGCACTTTCCCACTAAGAGGCTTATATTGGGATGAATAAAAAGACTGAATTAGTAACACTTTCGAGTCTTTAACCCTTTATTTGGATGAAGATGAGAAAATGAGAGGAAAGAAAATGATGGGAAAGAAAATAGTGAGAAAATGATGAGAAAAAGTTAATGTTTGGATTGATGGAAAATGGAAAGAAAATGGTGTGAAAACAGATTGAAAAGATGGAATAAGAGAAAAGTAGTGGTGGGATAATGGTGTGAAAACAGATTGAAAAGATGGAATAAGAGAATTTTTTACGTGGGGCCCATGCTTAGTTTTCTCACTCTCATCATTTTCTCTCTGAAACAAACATAAGAAAATGCTTTGTTTTGTGTGTTTTCCTGCCAAGCATTTTCTTTCTTTCCTCTTTCTCACCATCCAAACGATGTGTAAAACTTGAGCAAGTATCTTTTTCCAATAAAATGATTTGATTAGAGGTGTCATTCGGACAACTTGCTCAACTTCTTCCCAACTACTTGTGAAAATGCTGATGAAGCATGACTTATTTAATGGATCTCAGTCACTTTCTGCCAACACTTTAAGTTTCTACTATGGTTCTTGCAGTTTCATACTGCAAAAGACTATACCTGGATAGTTTCAGAGAAGATGGAGCGCATGGTGATGAATTGCTCTGTGGAGAAGATTTTCCACTTGATTGTAAACAATTACCCCAAAGTGGTTCTACAACTGCTGGAAGCATGGTAATTTGGAGAATTATTTAGTCTTGAAGTGTGTGTGTGTTGGTTTATGGTTCTGTGTTTTTAAAGATAGAAGTTTTGGCTTTTAACGTTCAATTTTGTTTCTGAACTTGAATAGGATTCTACATCGACAACCTGTACGGAAAGCTTAGAGACAATTTTTTCTCCTATTCTGGAGTCCATGGATGTCCATAATGTGTCAAATATCAAAAATGATGGAGGTACACTTTGACATTTAAGAACATGACATTGGGTTCCAATGTCAAAAGAACCTTGGTGTTCATTCAAATAAGGATATTTCAATGTTGGATGTTGCATCAGGAAGTGATTATATCCGAGAGTATTTGCCTCTTGTTTTCTAGCTTAGGAAAAGATTCAGTGAAGTAAACAATTTTTAGTGCACTGGTCTTTTGTCTATTCTTTTGTCAGAGAGTAATTTCTGATTTGGACATTGAACAAGTAGCTAAACAATTCCTTCACTCGCTAATGTGTTTTGTTTTGTTGAGAGTATGTGGAAGGAGACATTCTTGCAACCTGATTTTATTTTTCTCTTGGATGGCTGTAGGAAGCAATGATCTGTTTCTTCCACTGTTGGAAACAGAAGATAGCGATAGTAGTCGAAGCTCATGCGAATATCATTCGTGCAACGTGTCAGATTTCTACATTTCTGACATGATTGTTTCTGGCTTACCTACTGATGATGGGATAATCTATGATGTTGATTCGTCCACCATGTTTTTTCCTGATTATAAATGTGAAGAACCAGACATGTTTACTAACATTGCTGAGGAATATATGCTGCTTCCTTTTCTTGAGCATACTCCAGAAGCTTTCAGTGGCAATGATGATAAAAGTCAGAGATCATGCAATAAAAACAGTACAGTTTCTGACCAATCAAGCTTGTATATGGCAATCCACCAAATAAGACCACATGATCAGGAAACTGATGTTTTTGAACACACTGAATCAGATCAGTTTGATTGCTTTGATCCTCACGTGTTTATTAGAAATGTTCCAGATTTGCCGGATGTGGTAAAGCCAGCCTCCGTGCCAAATAAGCTGGAGAATGAGAAGCCAGTCACCTTAGTACTTGATCTGGATGGTAGGTTATTTCGTGTATCTCCCCTTTCCCATGCATTGACATTCATTAGGCTATGTAGCCAAACAATTTTACAAGTTAGGTAACCAAGTAATCTTATTCTATACTTTTGTCTTTATTAACATCTTGTCATTTATGGGGCATATTGGTTTTGATTGGAGAGATTAAATGCCGAATGTGAAAAGGAAACCTAGGGTTTACTTTAGGTTCAGATTTGTAAATTTTAAGCAGTAAAACCTGCTTTCATTGTGTGCGTATTGGTGTTTGCAACCCACAAGTTTTTTAAAAGTCTGATGCTGCTTTTCGTATGTCCAAAGATGCTTGTCTGTTCACAATCCATCATATTATTATTATTATTATTATTATTATTATTATTATTATTATCATCATCATCATCATCATCATCATCATCATCATCATCATCATCATCATCATCATCACCATCATCATTGTTATAATTTTTAAATTGATGTTTCTTTTGACGTGTCCAGAGACACTTGTTCATTCTACACTGGAAGAATGCAATGATGCCGACTTCACATTTCCAGTCTTTTTCAACATGAAAGAGCACATCGTTTATGTGAAGCAGAGACCTCATCTTAGGTCATTTCTGGAGAGAGTTGCAGATATGTTTGAAATTGTAATATTNTTGTTATAATTTTTAAATTGATGTTTCTTTTGACGTGTCCAGAGACACTTGTTCATTCTACACTGGAAGAATGCAATGATGCCGACTTCACATTTCCAGTCTTTTTCAACATGAAAGAGCACATCGTTTATGTGAAGCAGAGACCTCATCTTAGGTCATTTCTGGAGAGAGTTGCAGATATGTTTGAAATTGTAATATTCACAGCAAGCCAAAGCATCTATGCAAAACAGCTGCTAGACATACTGGATCCTGATGGTAAATATATCTCAAGACGAGCTTATCGTGAATCATGCATCTTTTCAGATGGTAGTTACACTAAAGACTTGACAGTGCTGGGTGTTGATCTTGCAAAAATTGTAATCATTGATAATTCTCCACAGGTAATTGACTATCCATTATATTTGACAAAGAACTTATTGTCAAAGCTTTTACATGTATTGGCTTGTTGGAGGTTTCATCTGTAGTAATGATTTAAACATGTTGTGCCTCTTTTTTTATTTGGTAATTCAAATTAACAGTCGATTTATTAGATTCAATTCAAGTCATGTAACCAGAACAACACTTGTTCTACTTGCTTTCAGGTTTTCAGGTTACAAGTGAACAATGGCATTCCTATTAAGAGTTGGTTTGATGACCCTTCTGATTCTGCGCTAATCTCACTTCTTCCATTTCTCGAGACATTGGCAGATGCAGATGATGTCCGTCCCATCATTGCCGAGAAATTCGGTAACAAGGAATAAGAGTTACTCCCATATAGTTCCTTTTAACAGCTCCCGGTCTCTCTCATCCTTTATAAGAACATTTAGTGCTTATTTTTCTACCCATGTTGAGCTTCAATATATGATATTTTTCCCCAAATAAGAATATTACCCATCTCCTGCTTGCACCAAGCTTTTGGCGCTTGCTTCTTTCGCTCATCTCATTGACAAGCTTTTTGTCAGTTCATCTAATTGTTGCAGATGGTAGTTGACAGGTGTTCCTTGGTGTGTGCAATGTACAGTTATATACATTCTTATGAAAAAAACAGCTATAGGTTCACATTTCTTTGCAAGTTTTGTGTATAATATCTGTCCTCTTGTCCTTGTTCGCGAAATGAATTTTGTGGCCTTGTGTGGAAGTCCTGTATCTAATTAGTTCTTATTTTCATTGGAGAATAGGCCACCAAATTTAGATATTTATTGGCAATTGTAAGCTATACACTATGTTTTAGCAGTGAGTAGATTAATCAAATCCCCTCCCCATTGTTGCCTCCACCAACCCTTTGTTTTTTTCTGAAAGACTTTCACAGTTTTGAATCCCTTATCTGCAGGTCCTGTGGAGATGCCCATTGTTTGTTACCACAAAGTGGACTAATATTATTATGTAAGTCATACTTTGTTGTGACTTTCAAATACTCCCTCCGTCAAAGCGTATTTGTGTAGTTTAATATTTTCTAGTAAAACAGGACAAACTTTACCTAGTCAATCAAATACAGTAAAGATTATACTCAATACGTATTGAATTTTTTTAAAAAATTGTTCATTAGATCTGCTTTGTTGGGACTTTCAATTATTTTGATTTCAAGGAAAAAGGGGTAAGGTCATGTTTGGTTGGGTGGTGGTGTTTTAACATTGGTTGAGTGCATTCTTTTTGTTTAATTCAGTTGGTTGAATTGTAATTTCTGTGTTGGTTTAAAAAAGATGTAATGTAAAATTATCAGTTTTGACTCTTTAAAACTTATTGGAGATCAAATTTTACCTTCTGCAGACAATAATTTGTATTAATGGAAACGTTTTGAAGGATTTGATTTTTACCCCACCCATCGATTCCATTTCTCCCTTCTCCTCTATATATATATATATCGATTTGGAGTGGTGATTTTTGGCCTACCTCGATATAACTTGAGTACATATATCATATATCTGGATACATCTGAATGTAGGGTGTTTTTTAATAAATTCATATGAATATTCATTTTCGGGTAATATGATATTCTCTCCGTCCTCCATAGATCTTTCCAATAGCTCTTTTTCTTTGTCCACAATAGATCTTCTCATTTCGTTTTTTAACAATTAAAATACCACAATTACCCCCACTTACTTTATTTATTACACCTCACCCATCTCATTTAATACACTCCACCCATTTTTCATTAAGGGTATTATTGTAAACTTTCACATTTTTTCAACTCTCCTTAAAAACCACCAAAAGTCAAAATGAAAACATCTTAGAGGGACGGAGGGAGTACTTGTTTTTGAGTAATTGAACACTCGTTTTAGAGCATAATAAGATTTTAAAAATGAGTGTTCAGTTACTCAAAAATTAGTAGTCAGTTGCTTGAAAATGAATATTCTGGTACTTGTAAATAAGTACTCGCCGCAAATGTACATAAAACATTGTGTGGTACTATATATATTGTGTCATAACTTAACTATGTTTTTTCAATTCAAAAAAACATAGCATTAATAAAATAAATAAGATCCATTTATAGTATTTTATTGTTTACGTGATAGAAAGTTCATGATTTTTATATAAAGAGTATATCCATCTAACATGCATATAAATATTAGTGGTCATAGATTCAAAGCTCTTCTATCATGGATCTAATTAGGTGCACCATGAGCCTTTTCCTATTATAAAGTAGGAGTAATAAACAAAACAAATGAAATAAAAGATACAATTACTATTCATAAAGTCAATATAATTTTCTTTACCATGAGCCTTTTCATATTATAAAGTAGGAGTAATAAACAAAACAAATGAAATAAAAGATACAATTACTATTCATAAAGTCAAAATATAATTTTCTTTTTCATAAAATTATCGATATATTGATGTCACCTCCGAAAATTTTGATGTATTTCTCAAATGTATACATTTTTTACACAAATTTTAAAATAAATTAAATTGAAAATAAATTCAATGAATCATTCCAAATCAAACTGCATCTTTAATTTGAGAAGGTCTATGTTTCTTGTATGAATCTTAAGCCATATTTTTTCTGAGTCATATTGAGTATTGACTCTATTATTGGGCAGTCTCTAGTCAACCTAATGACACACATAGAGTTAATGCTTCCGTCTCCATTGAGGCTCGAACCTGGGCAGTGGACTCACTGAAAAGTTCACCTTAAGCCATATAAGAATGAGAAATGTACCTAACTAAAATTGAAACATATTCTACACAAAATAGTTTCTTTTTGAAACTTGAAATGTTTTGTAAACCGGGAGGAATACTAAATAAAATATAGTCATCAAATTTTTTATTACCAAAATTAGACATAATGCTAATCAAATAATGTAATATATAATGCCAAAAATGGTGTGGATTCAATACACAATGCCAAATTGTAGTGTTCAGAGTGTTCCCACTCGCACTTAAGAGAAAGATACTCGTTTAGATAGACTTTTTTTTATAAGAGTTTACTTCTACTCTCTGTCCACATATTATCTTTATTTTTGTTATTCACATGATCAAATTTACCTAACTACTTCCTCCGTCCCTGAAAATATTTTTCCTTTCTTTTTTCATCCGTTCCAAAAAACACTTCTCATTTCTATTAAAAAATCACTTTTACCCCTTACTTTTTCATACCCTACCTATCACATCATACTTTTTTACTAATAATCTATCCATCAAATCATACTTTTACTCTTCATATCAAAGGATATTTTTAGAAATTCAATACCAAAATACACACTCTTTAAATCTCTCTTCAAAATCAAAACTCCTGTGTTTTCTGAGATGGAGGGAGTATTAAATTTATTCAATACTCCCTATTATTTACTTTTCTTTGTAGACGGAAGGAGTAGTCGATATAGGGTTCATACTCCCTCTGTCTAAAATAATTGTTGTTGTTCGTCTTCACGAAATTTAAGAAAAGTGTTGAAAAATAAAAATGAATGATTGAAATTTATTTAGAAGATATAAAAAGATTGTGGACCATAAATACTCCCTATTTTACTAAACTAGGAAACTAAAGTAAAAAGGTGAAATAATTATCTTGAAATGAACTAAAAAGAAAGATGAAACAAATGAATTAAAGTCTATGTTCCGGCGGCACACCATCTTAGTTAATTCACTAATTGATTGAATCTCTTAAATTGAGTTGGAACAAAGTTTTATTGAGGTGAGCTTAAAGTAACTAACGAACAATGTAATTTGATTCCTTTATCATTACTCCCAAACATGTCCCCTCATTTAAATAGAGAACAACTCACAATATATATTAGCAAATAAATTGAACAAATATTCAATGAGAACACGCGAATGAACAAAAAAAATCACTCAGAATAGAAATAAAATATTTAAAGAATACCAAAATAAGAGTTCTATGAATTTAACCCCAAAATAGAAATTTGCAGTGTAATGATGTGACACTGTATTTTTACATTCTATAGTGTTTTTTGTTATTATATGTTTATAATATTGGCATTATATTTAGAAATAAAAATATAAAACTACTACTTTCTCAATGTTTTACTCATAATTAATTCAGTCCTTTTCTCAAAAAATAAAAAAGAAATTATCAGAAGAATAATTTATCAAGTAATTGTGACGATATTTTTGAAACTGAAGAAAGTATTTATTTCATATACTTGACCTCCTTCTATTTAATGAGTTAATTAGCTCCTTAATGGAACCGCAAATTTAACAGGATTTGGAGCCATAACGTTTTATCACATCAGTCGAATCAATCTCATATAATGAGAATATGTGTCTTTAATATTTATATCTAGACAAACTTTATTATAAAATAGTGAATTATTTTATAAATTAATTCTGTCAACATCTTGTAGATTTTATTCATTTATTTATTCAAAATATAAAAAAACAATGTTTGGATGGTGTAACAAATGACTTGCTCAAACCTTATCCTTAGTTGACAGGGACTTGGGCAAATGCACAAGAAAACAAAATATTTATTCATATTTTTTTATAAAATTAAAAGCAGACAATTCCAAACCTTTTTTATTGCATGTCATATATATATGATGGGTACGTACAATTGATGCGGTCTGTAAAATCTCATGCCATGCGCTTTGGTTTAGCTATATATATTGATTAATGCGTGATTAGTAATTAATTAATTAATGCTAATATATGTTTTGGCAAAAAAGACAAAAAACAAATGTTTTTGCTAATGCTAGCTAGCTAGAATGAGCTGAGATCAAATATACAATGCATGCATGCATGCATGTTGCAAGAAATTTAATTGTCTTGCACATCAATATTTTCACTTCTCTTTCTTACTCTCCAAATATATCATGAAGTAGTACGTTTAAAATAAATATTTTATTTCTCCTATTATCCCCTGATTAACGATAACGAGAGACAGCTTCGAACATATGTACTAAAAGGGAGCAGACATAAGTAATTTTGTGAAAATATCGGCTAATTGTTCGGCAGAAGGATCATGATGAGTAGTCAGGGTGCCAGTCAACATGACTTCGTCCCTCACAAAATAACAATCAGAATCAACATAAGTGAACCCAAGAAAAAAGAAATCCGGTATACATCGAGAGATATGAAGACTCATATCTCATACGCTCACGAAACCAAGTTCTAAAATAAATATATTTCTCAATCTGCAATCGCCAGCTGGACTTTGTGTTTTTAATTGGTTGATGGAATTTAGGTTTTTGTAGTTTCCCCTCTCCATCCTACCTTTTACCCATAGACACGTACGAGTCTTGTGAAAAACACGTGCTGACTAGGAAACTACCAAGAATATCAAATTAAAATTTAAGATTTTAATATACACATTTGAAAAAAATTGATAAGAATACCCAAATTTGGTTTATTAGATTTTAATGCATAATAAAAATCACAATAATAATCAATTAAACATGAACATGAGAGATATATTTTAGTAGCAATTAGATATTTCTATCCATTATAACACTAAAAACGGGAGGTAAATTTTTATGTAATCTTTAGATCCACGCTCATTTTGTAGACTTTAGCATATAAACATAAAGAAAGAATTGGATCTTTTGCAAATTAAAAAAATTACTTGTAAACTCTTGAAAAATGTGAGAATTGGGACGAGGAAGAGAAGGGAAAGAGCCACAAGGTAGAGCACCTAACGTGAGAAAGAAAAAAATTTGGTCTTTAATCACAGATTGATAATAAAGAAGGAAGAAAGACCAAAGTAGGACTAAAACATTGAAAATATATTAAAATAGGACTTCCATCTTTTTATTCCTGAAATACGACTTAAAATACATTTACATTACCAAACATGGTCATGTACATTACCAAAAGTATAGTAATGTGCACATGTATAGTGCCACATTACAATTACATTACTATAGTGTGAAGTCTTATTTCAGGAAAAAAATATGAAAATCTTATTTTGATATTTTTCTTTATATTTTAGTCCTATTTAGAGTGATTTCTAAATAAAAAATGAAACATATATGATATATCTAAGCATAATGACCAGAATCAAATTAGATTCACTTTTTAACACTTCCTGTTTTGGCAAGGGAACCATAGACCTTGTCACGGAGAGAGAGTCACGTTGTTTCCCCTCGTATGTGGCAATGTCGTCCATCGATTGAGTGGGCCCCGATCTGTTACCATTCGATTTGAAGGATTTTGGCTAATTACTGTACTAATTATTTTTAATTAAGTTCAGTGGAAGATTCCGACACTGTGTTTTTGTCCTATTATTATACCGTCTCT